GCTTCCGACTCGACTTCGACCGCCCGTCTCAGGAACGCCGAGTCGCGTTCTTCGCCGGTTGCATAGCCCCCCAAGCCTCGTTACCGGAGTACGGCTGCGGCCCTGTCTCGCTGCTGTCACAACCACCAAGCCACGCACCCTCCCTACCACTACTCGTCTCCCACATTCTCTCCAGGCGACCGCCAGTAACGACGCAATCGACACCATGGCGAGCGGCAGTACGAGTTCCAACGTCGTCGGCGTGCACTACCGCGTCGGCAAGAAGATCGGCGAGGGCAGCTTCGGCGTCATCTTCGAGGGCACCAACCTGCTCAACCAGCAGCAGGTCGCCATCAAGTTCGAGCCGCGCAAGAGCGATGCTCCCCAATTGCGCGACGAGTACCGCACATACAAGATCCTCGTGGGCTGCCGTGAGTGCTGACTTTCCTTGCCCCTTTACCGCTTGTTTTGTTGAACCTTATCAACACCAACGTCTATATATATCTCCGCACACCCAACAACCATCGTGACTAACCTGAACCTGTGCAGCCGGGATCCCTAATGTCTATTATTTCGGTCAAGAAGGCCTCCACAACATTCTGGTCATCGACCTGCTCGGTCCCAGTTTGGAGGACCTGTTCGACCACTGCAACAGGAAGTTCTCCATCAAGACTGTTGTCATGGTAGCCAAGCAAATGGTATGTCCCGACACCACCGTCGCGCTCTCACCTACTCACACCTCATCTAGCTGTCACGGGTTCAGACCATCCACGAGAAGAACCTCATCTACCGCGACATCAAGCCCGACAACTTCCTTATCGGCCGCCCCGGCTCCAAGAGCGCCAATGTCATCCACGTCGTCGACTTTGGTATGGCGAAGCAGTACCGTGACCCCAAGACGAAGCAGCACATCCCGTACAGAGAACGCAAGTCGCTCTCTGGTACCGCTCGTTACATGAGTATCAACACCCATCTTGGGCGCGAGCAATCCCGTCGCGACGATCTCGAGGCACTTGGCCACGTCTTTATGTACTTCCTGCGAGGTGGACTGCCATGGCAAGGCCTCAAGGCTGCTACCAACAAGCAGAAGTACGAGAAGATTGGAGAGAAGAAGCAGACCACTCCCATCAAGGACCTGTGCGATGGCTTCCCTGGTATGTTACGCGTCTCCCTCGTTCTTTGTTCATACTAACAATGCGTAGAGGAATTCAACAAGTACCTCAGCTACGTCCGGAACCTCGGCTTCGAAGACACACCCGACTACGACTACCTACGCGAGCTGTTCACTCAGGCTCTCAAGAGCACCGGAGAGGTCGAAGACGGCGAGTACGACTGGATGAAGCTGAACAACGGCAAGGGCTGGGAGGTCCTCAAGTCCCACCCATCTGCTGCGCAGGCGATGCACCACTCCAACGCCAACCCCAACTCATCCATGGCTGTGAACATGCAAGGCCAGCAACACAGGCAACAAAAGACGCACTTGCCCATTGACCACCATCGTCTCAATGAGCCTCTGCCAAAACCCGGAGCGACCCGCGCTCAGCCCGGACGAAGCCCACGGGAGAACATGAACCGTGATTCGCAGGTGAAGCGAAAGAGCATGGGCGAGCTTGCACCACCCGAGGGCGCTTCGACGCAGGCCCAGTTCCAACACAGCCAGCCCAACCTTGCGCAGAACAACCGCGCTGCTCCTGCCAGCAGTCCAAACCCGCAGCAACCGAGGCAACCGTCTGCCGAGAAGCCCAGCTTCATGCAAAAACTGGCGAATGCTCTGTGCTGCGGCGCGAGCAAGTAGTAATCGCGGTCCTCAAGCTTGGTTTTCTTCCCTTTGCGTTGCATCACGGAGTCCGTTCTTTGAGCGATAGTATTCCCTCGGTCACGTTTTCTTCCTGTATAGGTATCTTGTAATGATTGATAGACGGGATCGAAAATCTCCTTCAACGGTAATAGTTACGACGACCGATCGACCGAACCGCCTCCCACACCAGCCTGGATTCCTCATCAGCGCCGAAAAAACATCATCACCATCACCATCTCTTCATCTCTGCGCTCCCGCGTCGTTGCGAGACTACATCAGCTGGCAGTACATGTGGGAGTGATTTCCATTGGGCGCTTGCGGCGTTGCGGTGTGCTTGGGGAGGCTCGCACTTTGTGGCATCTCATTTTCATTATTCATTTTTTGGCACGAGGAAAACATAGCATGTAAAGGAGTCTCTTCTGAAGGCGCGGCCGAGGCCTACTGTATCGCGTGTACAGGGCGACAGACGGGCCTCGCTTTAGTTCAGGTAGAGTAGTTGGGCGAATAGACGCACTCACTACGCCGAAATTTCATTTTTGTACCTCAGTGACGTTTACCATACTCAGCATCATGTCTGCGTGTCCCTGGCCAGTAGCTGCGATCTAGCCGTTGAGGGGATCAAGTGATCATCTTCAGGCAGGAGCTATGGCCTCTTTGCGCATGCGATTGGAAGGTGCCGTAACAGCGGCAATCCATGACTCCATAGCTGTGCGTACCTATAGCGCAAGAACTTGACTTGTAGCCTGGTTACTCTTGAATCTCTTCGAAACCCTTCGCGCAATCTCTTGAATAAGTTTCCCAGCCCATTTTGATAATTTTTTTCTCCGACATACCAATATTCCCACACGTGAGGTACCTGCGCAGGGTCCAACGCGACTTCCCAACAACGAAATTAAGCTCGTCCACTCAGCCCGGGGCCTGCGAATCCATCACCCGCACCCTCTCCTACTACCGGCTCATCGATCAGCGGCGCCTTGCGAAAGTTGCGATGGCGTCGGGACGCGATGTGCGCGATATGCTCGGGCTGCCTGCTGCCGGCGGTGATGCGCCAAAGGCAGTAGGTCCAGCAGCAGTGGCGGCGCAGACACAGAAGCGGTCAAAGCCTGCAGGAGGGAGCAGGAAGATACGTACGTTTGGCAGTCCTTACGTCTTTCCTTGGGAAATCGTCAAAAGGTCGAGACTGACTCTCATTCGACCAGAGGGCGTTGCGCGCGAGGTTGCTGCGCTATATGGCGAACGCCCACCGCCTGTCGCCGTCTACGAGGAGAAGAAGGCGTACCGGGCAAAGAGACAGAGCACAGGGCCGGCGAAGCGATGGTATGTAAGGGTGAGGAACCTGTGGAAGATTGGCTAATTCGCGTCTCTAGGATACAACAGCCGTTTACGAACCCAGCGCGCAGCGATGGCCTCGTTCTGAAGCATTGGCGGCGCAAGCCGACGACCGCACCGCCCGTACAAGAAGCCGACGACGCGATGATGCAGGAAAGCGACACCGCCGACAACTACCTCGAACTGTGCGCCGACTACGCCAAATATGACATCAAGGTAGACATGCCCGGCTTCACAGACGAGGAATACGACCAGTACCTACGGAGTGACGACTGGAGCCGCGAGGAAACAGACTACCTATTCGAGGTAGTGAGAGACTACTCGTACCGCTGGCCTGTGATATGGGATCGTTATGACTACAGGCCATCGCAACCACATGCACCAGAAACTGCCAACGGCGAGGACCAAGCACTAGCCACGATGCCTTTTGCGCCCTCCAAGAAGCGATCACTGGAGGACCTGAAGGCCCGCTTTTACGATATTTCGGCCAAACTCATGAAGCAACGTATACCAGAAGTCTCAATGGACGCCGACCAGTACAGTTTATACGAGATGCTTACAAAGTTCGACCCAGTTATGGAACGGAATCGAAAGATGCTGGCCACGGCACTCATCAACCGCACAATGGACGAGGTCAAAGAGGAAGAATTCCTACTGACAGAACTCCAACGCATCAACATGGCCGCCAACCGACTCGATGCTGAGCGCGAGGAACTTCGGGCACGATTGGACGCACCGCCCCAGAACCAGGCAGTCTCCGCAGGACTACAGGCCTTTACGTCATCACAAGCCCTCCAGGCTCTCTTCCAGCAGCTATTTCAGCAGGATCGCAGCAAGAAACGCGCTTCGGGCGGCGGAACAGGACCCGGTCGCCTCAGCCTCTCCGCAAACGACATGGTACACACACCCGGCTCGGCACAACAACAACTCTCAGCGGCAAATCGACGGCAAAGTATGGCACAGAACCAACAACCCACGGCGCAAACGCCTGTCAAGCACCTCTCTCCACATCAAGAACATCGTTTCAATGTATCAACACATGACAGACTTACGTCGGGTATTACCTTTGGTTCCGACAAGCTGCTCAAGATGCGACAAGCAAAGAGTAATGTTCAGACCCAAAAGATTGGCCAAATGCTGGCGGCATTGGGCGTCAGTGATATTGTCAGCATTCCAACGAGTAAGGTCGGTGAGGTGTTTGAGAATCTCGTCACGAAGGTCAGCAAATTACTCGACGTACGCAAAGTTCGCGAGAAGGAGGAGGGAGAATGCAAGGTTCTGCTTGCTATGAAAGCTCGGCGAAATGAAAATGGTGAAGCTGAAGGAGAAGGTCAATTGAAACACGAAGTTCCTGACTCGCAACAAACGCCAGGCGGGGAAGTCGATGCCGATGGAGAGAATGACGACGACGAAGATGAGGACGATGTCAACAAAAACTATGGGGACGATGCCGAGGCAAATAGGGATGATCAAGAAGATGACAACGACGGTGATAATCCTGATGATGACGCTGAGGGCGAGGAAGATGAGGGAGGCTTTAATGGGGAAGATGACGACGGAGATGTAGATGCAGAGGGGGAGGATGATAGTAAACAGCAGTCAAGAGCGACTAGTCAAGGTGCATCGGGACAAGGCCATAAGAGAAGTGCAAGCGTGTTTTCTCAAGGCAGCGAGGTTAGCAGTAAGAGGGCGAGGAAGTGAGTACCTGACTGGGGTTTGGTTTATCTTTTTGCTAGCATAGCGATGGCGTTGGACGGCAAGAAAGGGAAACGTTGGGACATGATATGGGATTGGATATAGATGTCGACCATCGGAATTGTTATCTACGATGCGTTATCCGTCTTATACGCACGAATGCACAACATCGTCCTACTTGTTGAGTACCCGTGTCACGTCATATCTTCGCCTTTGGCTCTCCCTCCTGCTCCAGCCTCGCAAACAATGGCGCATTTCTCCCCCCACGAAACAGATCTAACATCTCCTTACCCATCCACGCCTGCCTGCTCTTCGCCAAGCCTTTCTCCAAATCCGCAAAACGATCTGCTTGGATGAATATGCCCGCACCATTCGCCTTGGTCCCCTCATTTAACAACCAACACACCGCCAAAGCAACAGCTTCCGGTCTGTTAATCGGTACACCCGCCTTCGCCATCTCCTTTGCATATACATCCGGCTCCATAGCCAAGACACTGTTGTTCGCCGTCAAAATAGGCGTGACCGTTATCGCAGGCGCAACAACCGATATACTAATGTCTAGTTTCGCACACTCTTGCTTTAACGCTCGCATCAAGCCCACGACACCGTGTTTCGCCGCGGAATACAATGGCGCCCCTGCTGAAGCTAGATAGCCTGCCAGACTAGCTGTTAGCACAATTGAACCCCCGTCTCTTCCATTCTTCCGCAGATAGTGGATAGCGAGTTTCGTTGTATCGGCCGCGGCATCCATATCCAAGGTCAAAGTTCTCCGATCTGGCTCAGCGAGTTTCCCATCACTATCGAGCGTATCGTTGAAGAATTGGTCGCCTTGTTCGGCGATTCCTGCGTTGACGAAGACGCAGTCTATACGGCCGAAGCGTTTGTGTGCTGCTTCAAAACCAGCGCGTTGGGAGACCCAGGAGGTGATGTCACACTCGTGGAATAGAAGATTCGAGGAGGGATGGTTGAAGGATTGGGGCGGGGGTCGCAGGTCAAGCACGACGAGGTTGTGGGAGGGGTTCAGGGTTGAGAGGAGGGTTGACGTTGCCAGACCGATGCCGGAAGATCCTCCCGTTATTAGAATAGTTTTTGGTGTTGATTCTAGGGCGTGGAGAGCGGATATCGAGGGTGAGAAGAGGGCCATGACGGTGGTGGGTTCGACTGCCTGTATGAAGATGGAGGCGGAGTTCACTTGATGTAGCAATTCAGAGGAGGTAGATTTTCTAGTAGACTTGAGAAATTGTGAGGGGGTTGGAAATGGGGACTAGAACTGTTGATGTAGTCAATCAGCTGCAGATGATTCGATTGATTACCTAGGTTATACGTTGTAGCTGCGGGGTTGGCCTCGGAGGTGTCTCAAAGAGGTGGAATTACCTGTATCCTCGCCGCTGACTCGGCTAGGGGAAACGAGAGGAGGAGTCAATTGCCTACGCATGTATTCGACGGTATGTAATAGAGTACTACATCCTTTTCGCGCTACCATGGTAGTGCTCCAGGCCTGTCATGCACAATCCGCGTCAGCGTTGGTCTCTAGCATTTCCGAATTGCGTTTCGAACACCAGGCCTCTATCGGAGAACGCTCTCGGGTGACGGGTATTAGTCCTGAAGCCAGAGACATGTGCGCATCAGACTGGTGCGTGGTGTCTACGCGAAAGGAGGGAGCGATGCACGTGTCGGAGGCCTAACCGCTTTCGGAACGTACACCTGGAGTTTCGCGATCTCGAGCATTCGAGCTTCAAGATTCCCAAGTGACCAGCTCACCCAACACTCACCTCCGCGCTACAGCCAGTTTTTCGCAGGGTACCAGAATCGCAGATATGTGGAAACCAACATTACTGCTCGCCGCTGCGCTAGCGGTCCCATCACAAGCGCTACACTTCTTCATGGACGGTGCGGTCCAGAAGTGCTTCTACGAGGAATTGCCCAAGGATACACTGGTTGTTGGTACGAGACATACTCGCAAATAAACCTCTTGGCCTAGAAGCGCCACAGGGCCAGCGCAAGAAACACGACTAACATGACCAGGCCACTACCACGCCGAAGCATGGGACGACGCAACCAAATCCTACCAAACCAAGCCCGACGTCGGCGTCTTCGTCACTGTGGAAGAGACATTTGATAACAACCACCGCATTGTTGCCCAACGAGGTAGTTCCGAGGGCCGCTTCACTTTCAGCGCTGCCGACAGCGGCCAACATAGGATCTGCGTGACACCCCAGAATGTACCGAGCAGTGGTGGCGGCTGGCTGAGCTCCGGCGTGCACGGCACAGTCAAGTTCACACTGGACATGGCGATTGGCGAGACCAGCAGGATCGAGAGCACGGACAAGGACAAGGTCGAGACGCTGGTGCAGAAGGTCAGGGACCTGAACTCGAGGTTGCAGGACGTCAGGAGGGAACAGGTCTTCCAAAGAGTGAGTCGGGCATCTACACATCACTGCATAGGTGAAAGAATGCTGGCTAACACATTCTGCAGGAGCGCGAAGCCGAATTCCGCGACCAGTCCGAGCATACCAACTCCCGTGTCGTTCGCTGGACCCTCATCCAACTTGTAATTCTGGGTGTTACTTGCGTTTGGCAACTATCGCACTTGCGAGCTTTCTTCATCAAGCAGAAGCTTACCTAGAGCCGTCGAAATGACCGTCGAGTTTCGTTTCTGGCGCGTACAAAGACATGAGGGACAAGTTTGGAGGAAAAGCCATGTTTTACCTTGGCTCGGTGAAATGCTCTTGCATCTGTATTGCGGAATACGGCGTTGGAACAACGGGTTGGTGGGGTTAGCGTTTGTGATTTTGAACGAGGCATAGCATCACACAAAGTACGTGTTGAATAGGTATGCACTTTTACTATCTGCCTTTCTCATTGGTCCCGTATATGCCCAGTTCAAGTATATGTAGAAGGGAGCGCCTGAAGGAGCATTCTCGTCAATGCTGACAGGAAGTACCGACGTATCTGTTGTATCGAGATAGTCGGAAGTGCTGGTGTGTACGAATCAATACCAATAACGTATCTATTATCAGCACATTACCATCCCTGCACTTATTCACTATCGGCATATTCCAGTACCGGCAAGTTTCACTAACAGCATCAGATCCAATACTGGTACTGCTAGGTATAGGACATTACCATACTGCCAAACCGATGCGGCACTAACACATTGTCGCTATTCAACACAAGTCTTGTCGATAGCCTGACTCAGACAGCAACTACCGTCGGACTCGCTCAGCATTGAAGAACCGAGTTTTGGTTCCGGTAATTCATGCGTCCACAAATCTGGCTGAGTATCGTCGACGGTGCCGGCTCACAATAAGATTGGGCAATACCCACAGTGCTATTTTTGTCATACCAAGCAGAACGATGGCAGTCTTAACCCAACATCTGGTTAGAACGGCCTCTCCCGAACTCGTGTTCCTGTGCCTCGTTTGCTGCAAACGACTATGCGCTTCGCCCCCATCCAGCCTCGCATGGTTGAGCCTTACTCCTTCCGGAACCAAACCAATCGTACGACTTGATACTTACCTAGTGGCTGTCAATTTTAGACTCATATTCCTTCAGTCAACCTTATCTGAACGCTGATTATGCTAGAATCCTACGCTTCATTGTTTTTTGTGAGATAACAAGCTGTACCCAGATGTGAAATGCTGCTGGCGAGAGCACAGTCTGTTGAAGTCAGCCTGACCTCAAGCTGTTGACAACCATTAGGGTACCATAAAGAGGCCTACTGGATACACAGACGATTCTCATCGATCCTATATGAAAGATTTGTACATGTACCCACAACAATCATGAACTCGACACTGGCCCACGGCTGGGTTGCTTCACCAAATGAACGCGGTACAATCGACATCGTCTGGAGCTGCATTGTCACCATTTTTTTGTGCAGTTGGTCTGTTCTGTTTTTGAATGTGCCCGACAAATGCGACTTCCGGTCATATCTAGCAACAAAGCTCTCATGGGTTGCCTTCACCATCTTCTTTCCCGAGATTCTAGCATCATTTACTCAGGTCCAACATCTGTCCGCTCGACACTCGATTACCGCATTCACCAAACTCGGATATCATGACTGATCCATGACACATGCGTTCTTCGCCGACATGAGAGGCTTTTCATGCTTGACCCTCCAGATTACCCGCCATTTCCCGTCAACGCCCATCAGGTTCACTACCTTGTCGAGCACGGCTTTATCGATTTCCCCAGTATTCGACGAGACACCATCGAGGACAGGAACAAAGCAGACGCTTTCGTCCGTATCCTTACATCCATCCAAATGCTCTGGTTCACCCTTCAATGTATCGGCCGCGCCATTCAGCATTTGAATGTCTCTATGCTCAAGCTGGACGTCGTTGGTATCGTGTTGTGCACGTTTCCAAGGTCTTACTTCTGGTTCCACAAGCCGTTGGACGTTGGTACGACAGTGACTCTATATCTCGAAGGATCACTAGAACTGAGAGATATACTGGTACTAGCAGAGGGTGTAGCCATGCGACCTTCCGAACTCACTCCGCTCGATTTCATTAATCTGCCTCCGGATCCCTATCAGATCTTGACCCTATCATGTGGGGCCTGGAGCACTTGGTTCGTCTCGGTACAAACTCTGCACATGTGCCAATCACCCGATTCAAGAACACGTCACGGATGAATCCTGGAAAAGCGACGGTATCAGAGTGGGCAATCTCAACGGTCATATCACTCACGTTCATTTGTATACACTTCATCGCATGAGACTTCAACTTTCCATCATTGTTAGAAAGAGACTTGTCGCGAAGTGCCTTTGTCTTACTACTCTGAAGCGACTTTACCTTTGGTAACCTATGTTTCCTGACCATATGGCAATTGCCGAACCTTTGTCGTCGATTGGGGGTACCGCAAGTTGACACTGCTACACAACTGATGTACCAGATACATCCGATTCTTCAGTACGCTCTAACTATCCCACTCTTTGGGGCATATGGACTTGCGCGGTTATTCATCATCATAGAAGGTTTTGCTAGTCTAAAAGCGCTTCCTGCAAGTAGCTTTCGTGGAGTAGAGTGGTCCAACATGTTTCCTCACGTCTAAGAAAGGCGGACCATGATGCAGCGCCATAGCGATGTCATATCTCGATCATAACTATTCTGTCGTGCCAGCCCGCCTTTGGTTCACCTATGAGCGCAGGAGACGGACTACCGAGGGTAACACATCGTCATTAGGACTCTCAACCAAACCAAATATATGAATTCACCACTAGTGTTGTTACGAAAGCTGTAACGAGATGTTTCGGTTACTCAAGTATCACTCCATACCATGGCAGCTCCGAGTAAACGAAAACTCGATAAGAATTCTTGTAACATGTAAGATCAATGTCTTGTTTAACATGCGTTTGAGCATCACTTTTATGTTATCCTGAAGCATGCCGGCGCTCTCACATCTAGTCTTCCCAATAGCATTGGAGTCGATTCTTCAGTGAATACCCGTTCCTGAGACAGTATGGTTCTAGCAGACTACTTTAAGATGAGATGTACCACAAAGATTGTTAAGTAACATGGCAGCATGAGACCAGAAATGCTCAAGATCTTCCTGACAACTAGATCGGAACTTTGAGATGTCATCTGTAACAGAACCGTGGCACGTTCAACAACCCGTCCAAAACCTTGATATTACCGCCGACATGGATGGCTCACATGCCGTAAGACTTCGTACTCATCAGCCACAGCCCAAAGACTAACCATTGCCATCAATGCCAACCCGTCTCAGATCCTCAGAACCCATTCAACCATACCGCATGCGCGTGATTTTTCCGTGGAACAGCCGTCCACGCGCGCATCCTAGAGCAACCGCTGGAACCAATCACCTGGAACCACAAATGAGCAACGCATCATGATCGGCAGACCTTAACGGGATAATCTGCTTCTAGTGACTTCACTACTTTTTCACATCAGTGGAACCTTATGCTTAACCTTGCATCGATAGCTGTAGCCAAGAAAGACTTGCGCCGCGGAAATTCGGATTGACATGGAGACAGATTGTGGATAAAGGTCGTCATTCGCGTGGAGCTGGGAAAGGGTATCCGGTTGGCATTGCCGGCGATCTTCAAGCGTATATACCGTGTTAGAAAGCAATAGGCGTGTACGCATCATTGGGCGAGTGTGTTTAATCCTTCGTTGCGGTAGACATCGAGAAGCTATCAGCAGCTTGCATGAAACTGTTCTTGTCAAGGTTTTCTTCATGGCTGACATCGGTCGAAACTGCTTAGATGGACCGGATTTCGACCGAACTCTATACTTAAAAAAAACGACGTCAATAGCTTCATCTGCCAAACTCTAGGAGTCGACGATGATGCGAACTTGAGTTTGTAACACAAGCCCATGAAACTCTATTGCAACTTCGGATGCCGTTCCCGTCAAAACTGCAAACGCGCCGTTGCTATCGATAGAATGCACTGCGCGATCCCCAGCGCTCTTTCTCAGCCCTATATGACGCCATGCACTCGTACTGCATCGGCGGCGGTTCCCCATCATGCTAAATCCACCAAACGTCTGTCCCACATCCATCTCGGATCCGACGGGATAGCAGTAACAAGACAGGGGCCAACGCACCTTTCATTTCGTGCAAGCCAGGTCCGACATTTTTCGGTGGAGCCACGGATTGGGTGAAAGTGTACCGAGGAGAGACCACACCACTATGCAAACTATGTGCTGATATGCAGGCTGTCAAATTCGGCACTGCAGCTTCTGGTAAATGGCCGGTAAATCAATGATACCATTGCGATACTCGCCATGTCCACATTTTCGCCCGCGGGCGTCACGCAACCATGGAATCATGGATCAATTGCTGCTGCATTGGGTACACACACCACCATCGCTATCCCCGTGCCTCGGTCCGATTAAATCCTTTTCTTCTGCTTTGAAATCCAACATCCTCGTCCACATTGTAGAAGAAAAAATGAAGGCTTCTAGAACGAAAACTTGTTCCATTTGATAGGAGATGCGTGGAGATGCGTGTGTTGGAAAAAGAGAGGCTGAGCCCGCTAGCGTGGCCCGCGGGGCGGTAATGGGCCCAGATCTCGCGGCGCTCTCACCCTGGTGTGCAGTTCAGCCGTGCAGCTGTGCGTGCTTTTGCTTGTAGTATGCATAGCCGACGATGTTACACTTGGAACAAGAGGCTGAATCTAGAGTGTAAGACTTGAAGTGTTGTCAGCTTGGGTTGTTCAAGCTGCAGTGTGAGGAGACGCACGATGCTTGCAGTTGTGGTTGTCAGAGTGTGTCATTTGAGTTGAGACCGGCGTTGCCGTCGCTGTGTACAACATGCATGGTGGCAGCTCAACAAGCGTCACCGGTTAATGACAGCAAACGAGGCTTCATGATGTGAATGGATGGTCTGCAAGAAGAACACTGTTTGACGTTGATATTACTTTGGGGTATCATTGCTAGCTACAATGGATTCAATACATCCGCTTGTCCGTCCCTCCTCTTCTGCCAATACGTTGCTGAGTACGGTGTGTAGACAAAGAAGTGGCTCCGACATTCTGAGGAATAGTGAAGTGTTGTACAGCATTAATGGTGCTCCAAATGGAGTCAGGTATATCGAGAATAATGAAATCTAATCCCAAACGTAACCAAAGCCCCTGGAGCCGGCGATGCCGTCTATGAAATCATCGCTTTTTTGTGCACATACGAAAGCCATCTCTTTCATCAAATCATCGTCCCATGCGCCCGCTTGTTGGTCGCTGAAAAGTCATATCCGCAAAAAACGTACTAGGAGATCAAAGAGGAATACTGTACAGTCGAAAGGAAAGAGCCCAAAACACCGAATGATTCAGTTCCGACCAGCGACAACTGAATGCGATGCAACCAGGTGCGTGACCACAGATGTGAGAGACGCGGGAATAAGCACCACTCTTGGCTGTGTCCAAGACAATGAAAACACGCTTGCTGTCGAAGTCCAGATCGGCAAAGAAGAGTCTTCGTGCGTAGCATTTCATCCGTGTGGGAAGCTGCGTGCCATAGAACAGTCGCGGCTGTTCTGGCGTCTGCAGAGCGGAGATGATGCAGGGGCACGGCTCCTGCGGAAATCGGTGAACATTGCGCATTAAGCTATGCTCAGTCGTGGTTACCTCCACGCCTGCGGTGCTTTCCGGGGAAGTCGACCTCGGGATGCACGACGCGCATATGGCGTGTCAATGCGTCATTGCGCGAGAAAGTCTTCTCCTCGACGCAAAGTGCGCAGCGAACCTTTTGCTTGCGCGCGTTGTGTATTGTGTCCTCGTGACGTGTGAGGTCATAAGGGCGGGAAAATACAGTGTTGCAAGGCTTGCCAGTCGTGGGGTTGATGCGCTCACACTTGTGGGGTCCCGCTTGCGAATTACGCTCCAAAATAGCCGCCGACGTCATAGCCGTGCTGAGATTGGCACTTCGATGACCCTCACGCTTATGCTTCTGAAGCTTTTGTGGGGTCTCGAAACGCTGGGAGCAGCCATGGTACGTGCATGAGTAGGTACCAGACTCAGCAGTGGTAGATGTTGGCTTTGTCATGTAGCGGTCGGACAAGACGCTGTTCTGGCTGCCGTTCGGTGGCTCAGCTTCGCTTGCGCTGGATTCCATCGACGTCAAGTGTGCAGGAAACTCGGGTGTCTGGTCGACAGCCGACGCCATAGTGTTGGGTGTTGATCGGTACTGAGATGGTGCGTTCATAGGCAAACTGTGCATGTTCCCTATTGATGGTGTGGCGAAGTTGAAGCTGGACGACTGTTGCAATGATGGAGCGGTTGCAGTAGAGAAGTTTGGTGAGAATTGTGGTGTTGCCCAACTGTCGCGACCGTAGGACTGTGATGAGGATGGTGCGTCGAAGCTGGATTGAGTAGCAGTCCTATATTGTTCGCCACCGTTGTATTGGCCGTCGTACTCGCTAGCGCCACTCTCCGGAAACAGTGGAACCTTGGACTCTTCGTCCGATTCCCGGAAGTCCAGTAGGGCATCCTTGGGGGAGATGGTCTTTGGCTCGGAATCATCGCTCGGTTGCATCTGAGACTTCATAGCATAAGCCGCGTCAGCCTGGCGATTTTGCTCACGTGCAGCAACAGCAGTGTTCATGGGGGAGTTGAACGAGTTGCTCGGTTGACGGTAAGGTGAGCTCTTGCGGAAGGGTGAGTCACTTCTTGAGGCAGTGCTGCTTGGCGACTGTGAGCGCGCGTACTGCGCTGCCTGGAGCGCTCGCTGTACGTTTTCGTTGGCGTTGCTGCGGTATGGCGAGAGCAACGAAGACTGTGCTGGCTTTGATTGCGACACTGTTTGGGTGACGGCACTGGGCTCGTAGAAGCCAGTGTCGGCCGCAATGTCGGTGTATGTCCTTTCGAACTTGGGTACAGGGCGCATATCTGGTTCATTGTAAGCACAGAACTGGTTGAAGAGCCAGGAGTCTATCCTGCAGAGGTCCTCACCATTGGCAGGCGTCTTGAAGTCCATGTCGTCCTGTGCTGTGTGTGGCGTAGCAGGAGAGTCGTGACCGTAACTTGATACTGATTGCCCAGTGGAGTGCGCGTAGTCTGGTACGTCATCACTTTGGTCCATGAGCGCTTGCTTCATCGACATATGGGCTGACATGGTGTGGTCCATGTTTGGGGCAAAGTTGCTGCTGAAGTTGTTGCTGTTCATGAAGGAGTCCTGAGTAGGTGTTTGAGAGGGTGTAGGCAGATGGTTCTGGAACGACCTTTTGGATATGTCAGCCATGTTCAATGAGTCAGCCAGCGCGGTTTCGTGCGAAGGCGAGTATTCAGGGCGAGCGACGTACTGGTAGCCTGATGAAGGTCCGACGGCTTGGTACTGCGAGGCACTCGAGCCTACAGAAGACGATGATGAGGCGCGCTGGTGGCCGCGGTTGCGGTTCTGGTTCTGCGAAGGTGTCTGGAGAGATTGACCTTGCACGTTACCATAGTTGTTCCAGGACTCGAGTCCAGTGTTGGTGTTGTTGGCCGAAAGCATCGGGGGTTGTGCGAAGCCCTGAGGAAGCTGCGGTGTTGGTGTCGACTGCTGAATGCGGATGGCCGGGTTTGCGAAATCGGTATATGCGCTCGTCATGTACGGGTTGGGTGCACTACCAGACGAAGTGCCGTAAATTTGTTGCTGAGACTCGACGTAGTCGTTGAGGAGCTTCTGGTCGTAGAGGTGTTGTGCAGCGAATGGCTGGGGTAGTTGTTGATAGGAGGAATGTGAAGATGGTGGTGACGGTATGGTTGAAAGATGGTGACGTTGTGTGGGTAGCGCTAACATAATGGTCGGGAGGAAAAGTAAGGGACCAGCGTGGGTGGCAAGTTACTTATACTAGTGGGCTACCGGCCGATGACTCGGGTAGTCTTCGCCGATTTGAGTGAAAGACCACTTGATGAGGTGATCTAGGATAGCAGTCGGTGGAAGTCTGTCGAACAAAGCTGTGTCTGCGTCGGCTATGCTCGGATTATCGGAATTAAGAGCCTTCGTGCGTGTCGTATGAATTTGCAAATTGCTGAGCGATAATTTCAACGGCTTGGGCTGCTGAGAATACGCGGATTCGGTTTCCTTTCATACCTCATCCTATGACGCAACGTTGGAACCCAGGTTGTGTTGCTTTGCAGGGGTATATACGCTAGGGATACGCCAATGCGCAAGAGCGGCGCGATCGACACCACCCTCACACACCCTGCATACGGCCGCCGCGGGCCCTGTCCGACCGAAGGCTGTGCAAACCCCAGCAGACGAGATCCTACCATACAGAGTTTTCCACATGCACTCGGATAGCAGCCGAGATAGCTTCGCTCAACGTCCATGAGCTGCTCCCAAAATACCGAGCAATCGCCTGTATGCATCCAGGCGATCTCTGCAGGCATGCACTCCACGTGAAACGGAGCCCTGCGAACCGAACCGTTATTCATCGCTGTGGCCGTCCGCTTAGTCTGTAGTCGACGTGTAGCCTGTAGGCCACCGTGCGACGGACCATCTCCAGGCGTCTGGCTGTGGTGATACGGTCGTGTCTGGTCCAACAGCTGGCCGCTTCTCGCAGGGACTACAACGTTCCGAGACGGGCTGAGCAGCATCGTTTACATGCCGAGCTACTCGACAACGCATAGTGGATTACGAATACTGCTGGATAGTAACAGATGGAGTACGCGAAAGCACCAGCCACACCTCTGGCCAGCGCCTGTATTGGTCACATGTTTGTCCGCGTGACTCACAGACAGTCACTGCCATTTGAGCATTGGCCTCAAGACCACGATATGATAGTGCTTTCAGCTTGTGTCTGTCGGCACGTGAGACCATATGGCCTCGTTTGCAGACAACCGTCAATAGCCCTACCCCATACTCTGTACTATTGATAGCTGGATCTGGTGGCCAAACGGCTCCCGAGGACCACTCTGCTGGCTAGCACAATGCACATCTCTTCATGAGATGCTGAAACTGGAGATCGATCCACGAACCAATAAACTGGGATGCGCACATACCAGCTGCAATACTACTAGATCAAGCCAGACTACCATCTGTTCTGCAGATGGAAGCTTCACTTCCGTTTCGGCACTGGCAGCATCCTCTACTCAACAACGGCACTGCCGTGCAACATCCCTACAGGTCGAATACAGCCAAGATCACACAAGGAAAACTCTTCACCAAAACTCTCCTTGCACAGGTGTGCTGAAAAACGACATATGCAACGTGTTGCAGGCATCCTGTGGAGTTGCATAGTAACCCTAAACCAACGTGGCATCGCATCGAAGGCCCCGAATGGGCAAGATCGGTGGGGAAATACTCGGATATGCAGGGTCTCTTGCGCCACTGTGTGGCAGTGTCAGCCCTACCGTATCCACGGGTAATGTAACTCGTCGCTTGCTCCGAGATCTGGACCCTTATGCATCCATCGAGAGCACTAGCCACATTTCTAAGCCGGTGCGCGACCATCCGAGGCTTCTGTAGCATTCTGAAGCAACATTTCGACTACTTTTCTTTTCCGTAATTCGCATACTGAATCGATGTTGTGTCTTTTCTGTCGCTTTCGTGTTGCGTCACCCTCCGTCGGACCGAACAAATGCTATTTCTTCGCTTACGATGATAATGACATCATCTCCCCGAAGTTTCCTTAGCATCCTTTCTTCGCATTCCATCCAAAACGACTGCCGTGCAGAGCTCCTGCTTTACGCTTCTATTTTTGCGAAGCAATACGTCTCCAATGAATATCCTTTCCCTGACGTCTTAGTCGACGTTCTGCTGGTCATTGAACTGCCCATCACTTCTCGAAGGTCGCTCAATGCGGTCATGGATCGCCAACGGCTGAGCGGGCACCATCCCTAGCCTTTCTGCCCGCCAATCCGCGAGCGCGGGATGATGAGACCCTGCGTCGGCTTGATTTCGACAAAGTTTCTGCCGGTCCACCTGCTTCCATCGGCAACATGACTGTCGATCATGACGCCTGAGGCACGATAGTCGCGTGTCTTACGTTCTCCACTCACAGCGCAGTGGTGACATACTAAATGCACCGATCGATACACTGTACATCTTCCATTATCGATATTAATGCTGGCTCAAGTATTTGATTGTCCCTCTTTTCTTATCAATACTCCATCTGCCGGGATGAGAAATTTTCAACTTCTGCTCGCATATGCAGGGCACCTGTCTACCCGATGTTCTGCCGCCCAACGCATCTTTTGGGTTTGTAGAGCTTGGAAATGTAACAGGGCGTTGACCGATTCCGGTTTTGCTCACCATGGCATTTCAGAACTTGGTTTTCAACGTCATCTGTCATGCACGCAGTTACAGCCGCTCTCCTGACTGTTGCATCACCTTGATAATTGTTTCTTTGGCCATGAACACATGCAACTCAATTCAGTGGATTCTGCGACGCCCCATGCTACGATACGGGGTTCATCCGGTCGTTCGGCCGGTCGAGCTGGTGATCAGCCGAGTCCCATCTCACCACACCATACGCTGACTGCATACTCCGCATTTTGTTGGTCCTCAACACTCAAAAGCACTTTTACTTCCCGTTTCGTGACCCGGTGGCATCATCTCGGCTGTATTTTGAACGATTTTGCGCCGAGCATTTAAGCGCGAAGACGCGCGGAGTTGCGCTATCTCCGGGACCTCAGACGATTGCAAATTATCCAGCTGTTACTCAGCGCTGACCGAGCACGAATCCTGTCGTTATGCCAGTCGGCTGTTTGTCGTTGCTCCGAAGTAAACCCATACGTGCTGCATACGTGAATCCTATAAATCGTCGGCGTAAATAGCCGGTGCAAGCAGCTAGTATATATTACGAGCGTCTTGCGAGGCTGATGTTTACAAGTGGTTAGATCGTGATAAAATAGGCAACGGTTTATGTACTGAACACGAGTTCCTATACGAGTGGGTGTTCGCACGCTAAGCCCTCCGTCCGTGGGCTGCCCTTCTCAGATCTTGCTCTCGCTAATCTGTGATCAGTAGTGTATCTCCACATGGCAACACTGTCAGCTTCGGGGCCGCGTAGGCTTTGGCCACCCTGCATGTCAGCCTCGCAAGCCTCCACGTTGCTTCGATGTAAGCTTTTGGGCCGCAAACTTTTGCCTTTCGGCGAAAATATACCGTGCAACGGTCATCCACGTACACACGTGTACATGAGTTTCAGCGTTGATCTCATCTGCATCTTGGTATTCGTTCTAATCTTATCAACTCTGCCAAACAGCCTTGGATGTAGAGCGCCCTTTCATGGACTACTTCGCAGCCTCGAGTGCGTCTGCAATATGCTTTCGTCCATTAGGATTACCTTACTGTCCATATAATTTCAATCAGTTCCTTCTCCTCTACCTAAGTAGTCTCATTACCACCTCTCTGAATCTGGAACGATCCAAATGAAACTCCTGTCTCCCTCAAACTGCACATAGATATTGCTTAACTTCAATCTTTTGGAGCAACCCTGTGACGCCCATAAACTTGTTGTCAAGTAGTAGCACTTGTCGAAACATGGAGCTTCACGCATTCAAGTGCAGCGGACCACCAAAACATCCAAAACCTACACATAACAGGACCTCAGCCCTGAAAAACGCGCAAAATTAAGATCGCAAGAGTTGAAGACGTATGTACAGTGGTTTGTTGGCTTCTATAGGATTTACGGGTCGTTCCGGCTTCTGCGGCTTCTGCGCATTTTGCGGGTTTTGAGCTAGGCACGATATAAACCACGAGAATAGAAGCACTCGAAGTAGAACCACTATCATTTATGATTCCATTTATCTCAAAAACACGCAATCATATCGTCTTTCTCTCCCAGCAAGCTCAACTCTCGACCTGTTCTTCTGGCAGCATGGCCCCATTAAGCGAAGTGATAAAGATGCTCGTAGGCCAAGCATTTGGTAGGACTTGGGTTCCGGAAACCAATCTGAAGGGGAAAACAATCGTTGTGACAGGTGCGAATACCGGCCTTGGTCTGGAATGTGCGAAGCACTTGTACGTGGGTTCCCGCATCAAAAAACCATTGTAATTGACCTCAAGGTCTGCAGAGCTCGCAAAAACGCAGCTACCATCATTCTCGCTTGCCGCGACACGAAGAAAGGCCAAGCTGCCGTAGAAACAATCTATCGAGATACCTCTTGCACAGGCAACACCAATATCGAACTCTGGGAACTAGACCTTGCCAGTTACCAATCTGTACTAGCTTTTGGTGAGCGAGTTCGCACTCAACTCCCCCGTCTCGATGCGTTCATAGCGAATGCTGGCATGGAATTGCAAGAGTTCAGGAAGGCAGAGGATCTCGAGATACACTTGACCGTCAACGTTGTATCAATCTTCCTCGGCGCCATTGCCGTCCTTCCCAAGCTCCAGGAAACAACCAAGACGCATGATGTGCAGACTTCATTGACATTCTGTGGCTCAATGTATCATATCTTTGGCCCGGATGATGAATTTGACGCTGGCGTACCGGACGACAAAGACATGTTCGAAGAGCTCAGCGACCCTGTGAGGACGGATATCATCTGGCGCTATGCCTTGAGCAAACTAATGGACCACCTTTGCTTCCATGAACTCATCAAAACGCTCTCGGAAAGTGCGACAGACTATTCCCAGGTGGTAGTGAACCTCATCAACCCAGGGTGGTGTGGCACTGAGCTGTCGCGCGCCAAACCACATTCCTTTGGAGAGCGAGTAGCTTTTGCGTTGATGGGCTGGACTGCTGAGAAAGGGAGTCGCGCCTATGTCCATGCAATAGTGGCGGGCAAGGAAAGTCATGGAATGTACCTATCGGAGTGTCAAGTCAAGCAAGAGTCGCAGTTTGTACGGAGTGAAAGAGGTCGACACATTCAAGAGAAGGTATGGAAAGACTTGGTGAGCAGATTTGGCAAGATTTCTCCCGACGTTATGAGCTTCATTTGCTAGTATGGGGGGGTTTTTTTTTGAGCGTGTATCGCAGCGAAGACATGTAATTAAGGTGGCGAGAAGTTGATGTCTCGGACGAAGTTATCCCACGCCAGCCACGGTGTCTCGTTTCCGTCTTCGGTATCGTTGTATTGAGGTCTGACATGATCTTCTAGACCTAAGAAAGGCACATTCAAATCATCTTCGTTCATACCCCAGTTTGAGAGATCAAACAAGTCATTGTTGGAAGTAGGAGAGTAGGTCTGCTCTGTCACAATCGGTACAGTAAAAACCGTCTCTGTTCCGATCGCGAGATTCTTGTTCCCAACAGTATCTGGAGTCTTTCTCAATCTCTGTACCCGTCGCATTAGCTTCGCGATGGGCTTCCACAGCAGTCCAGACTCTGAATCCGCTACTAGTCGCGCATAATGCCGGAAACTTTGTGTTGCGATAATGTATGATCGGTCAGATGACGGTTCTTGAGGTCGTACCATCAGTTCTGCAAGCAAGACCGCAAGTGCATGCCATTGCACCCAATTCTTCCAAGCCCAAGGCTGGAGCTCGACCGGAATAGGCTGGAGGTGCTGCTCAAGAACCTCGGTCGCGGATTTCATGATATCGAAGTCATCCCACGGAGGGACAGTATTGTGTGGTTGTCTATAGGGTGGTCTTCGAGCTAGAAGTTGCATACTGACGATGATCTTTTGAGCTGACATTCTTCGGAGCATCTCCAGCGGGCTATCATAGCTATGAACATTGGTTCTTTCGCTCAGGATAGACGTCTCAAATTCGTTTAGCAGCTCCACCTTCTTAGCCCACTGTGCCCATCCATTTTGGACACCATCTGATATCTCGTACAATCTCCGTTGACATATCATTGCTTCATAGATCATGGCAGTATGCGACATATCGGTAGGATACTGCAGGGAGGGTTGAAGTACCTTGTCTGTCGGGTGCATATCATCATCGTTGATGTTTAGTGGAGGTGCTCGGAAGGAGGTAGAAGGCAGGATAGGGATCGTACCGCGATCTAAGGCCGAATGGGTATCAAGGATCCCGATCGCAAAGAATAACCGCTGACGTAATTGGAGATCGAATGGCGAAAAGTCTTTTGGGTCTTCCTCTCCAAGTCTCAACAGTGTAGCAGCACGCACGGCAACCGCAACAAGCGTCCATGTGTAAGCGCCGCTACAGCATGTCCTTAATCCTACCTAAGCCGTTTCATCAGCGTTCACGTATGTATCAGAAGCAGAACTTCGTGGAGATTGACGCACAAGATACACTACGAAAGTTTGTAGTGTAAAGACATCTGGGCTTTGTAGTAGGTTCGATCGGACAAGCGATTCCTCTACAGCAGAGCGATAGTGTTGAAGCATATCTGATCTTACGCCCAAGCCCATCTCTTTTGCTTCACTATCGGTGATAGTACATAGTGACATGAAATATATAGCGAACTCCAACATACGCGTGGAGAAAGGAGGCGAGACATCCTGAGGCTGCGTATGACTTTCTCTAATGACTGATAACACCGTTGGCCAGTGAGTCATCTTATATACACTGTCTACTCGATAATGGTATAGATGAAGCAGTGTTTCTCGTACATCCGGCGGGGGATCATCATAGGCATTGGCATAGCTCTTTGACCATTGAGGAAATAGTATCGCGTTTGTCGAGCATGTGTCTCCGGCAACCTTGGCTGTGAACTCAACGTCATGTGTATTTGCTTCATCTTCAGCTTCATCCTCTAATGCCTCTCGCAACCCGTGAACTTCGCTGGAGAGGGCACTCCAGAAATTCGGCGCTACGAAGTCAGCGATCTTCTCACTAGTTACACCTACAAGCCCATCGTTTCTCAAATTGCCATTAACTGGAGCTTGATCTGATGTGGTACCCTGACTTGCTGTTTGCTCGGACTGCTGCTCTAAGAGGATCTCTATTCGTGCGATGCGTGCTGCAAGGTCCCTATTCGAAGTCGATCCCTTTGCCGTCTTGCCACGGGGTAGACGCGCCCGTTGCACAGCATGGCAACTGAGGCCTGAATTTCGGCAAGCTGAACATGGAGCGCCTTTGTCGCATTTGATCTTTCGTGACTTGCACTGCTGACACGCTAGACGCGGAGGTGGGTTCATGCTCTCGCCTTGACGCTGGACGAATCGGTATAGACAACACGCGCGAATGCACACTAATGACTAGTCGAGTCAGCATTTTTTCACGAACTCATCATCGAGTGTGAGTATGTTACGTGTGTTAATGTTGAAGAGTCAAGTGTGCTGGAGCGGACGTTACTTCCCATACTGTTATCGCCAGTTCAACAGGGGTTACAGAGGTACGCCAGCCATCGCGCCTTGCCGTATTCGGCATAGAGCAAACATGGGATCTCGAACACACCTTCTCCATTTCCATTATAGCTGGAGCCCTTCACTTTACGGATTGCATTCGTCCAAGACGCTCGGAGACTACACGGATAGAAGAGTTCAAATACTGAGCTTGCTGCCTGTCTTGCATCTCATACAACCCTAGGCATCCGGGCTACCCCATAGTGCGCCTTCGCCTTCCGCCCTGGCCCACCCGTGGATGGGCCTCAAGCGCGCCGACTGCCAATCCGCTCCAAAATCCAGTACGATGGTAACCTCCCCTGAATATCCCGGTTTAGAAGTCAAAGTCTGTGTTGGTGGTCAGCAGTTGCATGAGTACGATGACGACGAAGATGCTACACTAAAGACAATCACCAAGTACATAGAAGCACGCTCAGACTGCAAGTTCGTGGTCACTGCTATCTTCCGGCCGCCGTTTTCGACTCGCTACCATGTCAGAGCGCAACTTTCGATTGACGGAGTCTCCGTGGCTAAAACATTTTGCGAACGAGAGAAGCTCCTCCAAAAACAAATCGAGATGAGTGGCCATCGGTCGCAACGAAATGGAGAATGGGTCAAACAAGAGTTCTGCTTCGCCAAACTGAACATTGGCAAGTACCAGAAACGGTATGTTTCCGCTCGCTAACAGGATGCGCAGTCGAGGAGGCGCATGGGCCTGTCCCTAGTGCTGCTGTTCTGAAGCAGACTCTCAGTACTAAAGGACGTATCACCATAGCCTTTCAATTCATCGAAAGCTACCAAGATTTGGGACTAGATCCCCGAACACCCAGCAACAGACACCATGAACTTGAAGCGCTGAAGGAAATCCCGGAGAAAGCACTCAAGGGTGATGCATTATCACATCAAGCAGTGTAAGTAAACGATGGGTGAAGCGCTATAGAGGCAAAGGGCTAAATTTCCAAAGTTTGTCAGCGCCTCGAACATGTCATACAGAATCCTTCTCATCTCCCAGAAGACATTATAAGTTCGTAGACCAGGAGCCTTTCGCGACTTTCCACTTCAAATATCGGTCACTTGGTGAGTCCTAATCACGTTCACACCACGGCACTTACTAACATCAATAACTTCTGAGCGAGCCTCAAAGCACTTCGAATTCTTGAAATCACCGAGCCCACTTCTGTTCCTCTAGAAGACAGGCCCGAGGAAGACCTTACCCCAGCGGAGCTGAGAGAGCTACTGCGTCGCGTGCGACAAGTATGTATGCGCTGCAACTTGCTGACACCAGTACTAAAACACGAATAGCGAGAAGGAGAGAGCGAATCTATCAAGCAGGAAGTTAGTACTACTGCTAGAGTCAAGCGCGAAAGGACCATTGACGACGAGGATGACGTAATCTATGTTGAGACGCGACAAAGCAAACGTCCACGTATGGATCAGACCGTGATCATGATAGACTGAGAGTGAAACCTGTACATGTCTTCACAATGGTGAGACCGAGGAAAGTATCGCAATATTAAAAGACGGCCCTATGCTGAACTTCTCACAAGGTGGAAGGATGTTGTTGCATTATTAGCACGAGAATATGTGGGCTCTGGTATGATTGATGGACGCTACCGTATACTGCCAAGGCAGTCCACATTGAGTTACTCTAAGATTCTTATGTATGTAAAGGTGGTCGATCATACTAAAACATGTCTTTCGCGATAAAGAGGTCATGGTTGTGAGGCCTATAGATCGAAAGTGTCGCCGAGGCGTGGACGACGATGTCACGCAGCTGGGTCGAGGACATACATCAACAATACGGGAGCTTGTGCTGGTCTATCGTATCCTCGACAGTTGTTGTACTTAGAGTTAAAGCTCGGAAAATAATCGACGGATTCCATCGACACAGTCGGTGGTAGGAGAGCGCACGATCCGGATAGACTCGTGTTTGACGAATGTCATTTTAGAACGTGGCGAACCTTCGCTCACTCACCTCAATTCGAGTAGCCCCGCTTTAGCATTTGCTTCACGCTTGCTGTAAGTGTACATTGACCTCTCACCTTCTCTCTCGCTTTCACTGTCACCTCTCTGCTTGCCCCACTTGATGCCACATCTGTGCTCGGCCAGATATCCTGCTACCTTTGCAACCTCTCACTGCCGAAGCATTTTACCACGCCGAGAGTAAGCAGCCCGCAATATCACCATGGCGATCCATAACGACTATCCCGGTTTGACAGTACAGATCATATGTGGTGGCAAGCCTATTGAGGAACACGTGTATGAAGAAGACGAGGAGCGGGAGGAGCCTAAGACTACGACACGATACATCGAGTGCAAATCGCATACGCAATTCGCGATCGAGACTACCTTCAGGCCACCCTTTACGCCGCTAGACTTAGTTGTGGTCATCTATCTAGATGGGGTTAAAGTAGGCGGAACGATGGCACTCAAGCACGAAATGCTAAACCAGAACTACAATCGATCAATGACCAAATGGAAAGAAGGTGGAGAGTGGCGGGCATCTAAATTTGTCTTCTCAGATCTTAACGTGGGTATGTAAACTCTGGTTAAAGCTACTCAACTCCATAGCACGGTTCTGACACATATCCAGTACAAGAAGAGAGTGAGACATTAGCGAGAGAAAACCTAAGTACCCTTAGTCACGTAGGCAGAATCTCGGTTGTGATTTTCCCGATTCTGAGCACTCAGAAGACGTCAAAACCGGAATGTAAGAAAAAAGAACTGAGAGAGGTTGGACCAATCTCCGAAGAAGCTTTCAAGGGCGACGCACGCTCTCATGCAATAGGGTACGTTCATATCCAAGATTCATTCAACGAAATGCTAAAGAGACGTGAGGCTTGCACCAGCTCTAGCCACAAAAGCGCCCATTCAGTGCATTACTAGAAAGGCTGAAGAGCCTTTGGTAACGTTTCGATTCAAATATCGTTCGATCGGTAAGTCATCACATTTCACTAGCTAGATTTGAGACTCACATCGCAGCAGCCGCACTCAAATCTCTTGGCATCTTCCCCCGCTCACCAAGTCCCTCTTAGGATGCACAGCCGGAGTCGATCAGGGAGGATAGCACACTGAGATTATTGCCGGATTTATGCGTGGGAGATACGTCATCTGTTATCACTCCACAGGCAGAGACTGCTAGTGTCACGCCAGTCTTACTCCAACAAAACTCCTCCCTCAAAAATCATCGCGGACCGTCCAGTCTTACGAAGAAAGACATACTAATTCTGATTAAGCATTATCGCGGCAGTAGTGATGGTCTAGAGGGTCTCTCAGAGAAGGATCTCGCCATCTTGCTCAGCTCCTACCGGGTGAGTGCTCAAAGAGGCAGATTTGCACTGATGCTGATACGATACAGGGTGATAAGCCAGATGACACACCCATAAAGCAAGAACCTGTCTTCTCAAAAAGAAGAGTAGGCATCAAGCGTGAGTCGGTTGGGGACAGCGTTGCGCGCGGACAAGGAAAGAAGCGCAAGATGGAAATCATAGTTTTGGATGACTGAGCCGCATGAATGTTTGAAGGAGAAGCCTCTGCTAGGATGCAGTCCTTGCACTCATGTGAGGATATGGGAGTTTGGGGATTTGATATCTCATGGTATTCAGTAGCTGAGTAGTAGTTGCCTTTGGGTTTGAAGTCGGAAAAAATACGAACAAATGTCGAAAAGCAGTCAAAAGGAAATTGGAGTAAGCGTCCTCCAAACGGAACATGAAGCGTTCTGTAAGACTGCGATTTATCACAAACGACATGTATCTATCCCTAAATCCATTTGATTTTCATGTTACCTCTTTCAACTCTGCAATTTACCAACGGGCAGCCGTCGAAGTAGGAGTAGCATATGTTTCGCTCCAACTAGCGGTGTACTTTGAGCTCCCCACGATCGTCTGACTCTTGACATCGGCAAACGTCGCGCTCGTAACCACGCTATCGGTTCCGATCCATGTGCTCCACGCAGTCGCTGTTGTAACACCCGTCACGGGTCCAACAGAGACTGCGGTGGTCTCAGGCCAAGCACCGGACCATACAGTAGGTCCAGGGATGACGTAGTCGGTAACACAGGGAGTGGTGGAGGTTTTTGGCTTCTTCGTCTCAGTAGAGCAGTATACCTGTACCTGTTAGCGAACAAACTCAACGTCAGAGCTTGGATAGATGGGGGCCTCACGTTGTGTACGACGCCAGGGTCCTCGTAAGAGTACGCTCCTGGAAAGCTTACACCCTCGGGTAACTCAACCTCGCCATCGCCTTCGACCAGTATCTGAACGCAGTCGGGATAGAACTGTGCGCCTCTCTTTGGGTTTTGCACGTAGCTCACATCACCCTCATGTAAGCCAACCATCTCCGCACGGATGATATAATGACCCGCCTTCAGACCTTCAGGTACCCGGACATTCATATGACCAAAGTGCTTCGCAATGTCGCTTGTAGTACTCCACTTGCCAGCTTGTGGGAAGGGATTGCTTTCGTATTTTCCGGAGTGCCAAAGCTTGACGAAGGAGTTCTCTGTAGGTGGATCAGGCGAGATATAAATTAGTGAAGGGCCGTGATGTGAGTTGGCGATCACATCGTCGGTGTCGTTGCGTATCTCGTGGTGCCAGTCGAACGTAAGGTTATCTCCAGGCCGAACTTTGATAGTGTCGTGGGCTTGAATATCACCCATGACGTTGCATCGCATGTCAATGGAGTCTAGATCCTTGACAGGCGAGTTATTGTAGCCGCCTTTGCCATTCTGGCCATTGTACGCAGGAATTCGGACGCCCTTGAACGTGCCTTGATCTACACCGTTGACGAAGACACCCTGAAGGAATTAGTAATACGACCTGATAAGCTTAGTTCGGAATGAACATACCCAAATGAAAGTATGAGCATACGCCTGACCTGTAAGGAGCGAGAGGAGGAGAGCAGAAATGCGAGCCATGATGCCTGATTCTAGCAATGACTAGACCTAAAAAGCACAGAACACGATGTGCGAAGGATACTACGGACATGGCGAATACATATACACAAGTGTCCGATGCTTCATACAGCACGTCGGCAGGTGATGAGGCTAGTGTATTGCAATGCAATATACCCGATCGGCCCCAGATTGTTAATCTATCATGACTTCGGGAACGTCCAAACACAGCTGCAGATCTCGAGGTTCCAGCGGGAACATCGGACGTGTCTCCGACAGTGTGTTAGTGAAACCGTGGACCGCATTCGATGGTCAGGGTTGACAGATGTGCTGTTATATGGACTACACGAAGCCCAATTACTTCACTACCATCGGCCGCTTATAGCAGACTCAATATGGGAACGTTCGCCTAAGTAACAACTTGCTTGAACGCGAACGCGATGGCATGAATGCTTGCTACTGCGAAACGGTATAGCCTGATCGCAAAGGACCGTTGTCACCAGGTAACAGTACTTGGATATGTCTCGGTGCGGACTGGGTGCCAGTAAGCATGCTATCCAGAGAAGAGACGAGTTCCCATCTCAATTGCGATGTGATTGATCACCTCAAGGCTACAGTCGACAGGAATATATGTTACTTTCAGCGACTGGGATTATCCATGGGTTACGTAGATGGTGATAAACACATCGCGTAGATGATACGCACTACAGAACAATCGCCTGGAGCCTCTCCCCTAACGAAAGACTCATAGTACTCTTTCAACGCAACGTTGCACATTGATGGATGTGACCTCTGCTGATTCCCAACCTATCAGTATACTCAGAATGAGTTTTCCAGATCGGGCGCCCAGCCATGGGTCTAAATCTCTTCTACGCGCAGCGCGAAAACAGGTTCATTCATTGGAGAAATGGGAACCTGCCGTTAAGTAGTGTTTGGTTGCTGGCGGTGATGAAGAGAAGAGGAGGGAGAGGGAGGAAAATCGCGGTTTTGAGGCTGGCGCAGAGCGGAGCTTCGGTGGCGCTAAGCCCGATCGAGAGCGCTAGGGCAAGAACATCTGGCCGCATCGCCAACTGTGGTATCCACGCATGTTCAAGAGTGTGAGCTCTTAAGACGTTGCAATATCGTGCACTTGTTGCCTTGAGGGAGGGACAGTTGACACATTTCGATTCATTGCTGTATACAACTACAGCTCCACACCCGCGACTGCCACATTTCACACCGCCCCGCCAAATCAATCTCCCATCGTGGGCGCCCTCGGTCCCTCCACCACCGCCCCCAATACCTTCTCGAGCAGCGCGAATAGCTGCAGCCGCCCAGTATGGCCGACTTTGAGACGCTCAAGGATCAGTGGAGCGATATCGAGGACAGGGATGGCGTCCGTCTCAGTTGGAACACGTTCCCCAGCTCGCGCATGGTACGATAGAGAGCCGGTTATCACAATGGACTCGAGATACTGATTCGGCACACAGGAAGCTTCTCGTCTCGTCGTCCCCATCGGTGCCCTTTACACACCTCTGAAAGAGAAGACGGATACTCCGCTACTCCAGTATGCGCCTGTCGCGTGCAGAGCGCCATGCAAGGCCGTCCTCAACCCCTACTGGTATGCCCTGAACAGTCTCTGGTAGCTGTGCTCAAGCTGACAGTAACGCAGCCAGATAGACATGCGCGCACGCATCTGGATATGCCCCTTCTGCTTGAACCGCAACAATCTTCCCCCGCACTACAAGGACATCTCAGAGCAACAGATACCGCCCGAGCTGCATGCTGGCAGCACCACGATCGAATACCGACTCCCCCAGCCCGTATTGACCCCGCCCATCTTCATTTTCGTTGTAGACACATGCCAGGAGGAGGACAGCCTGAAGGCGCTCAAGGACTCAATCATCATGAGCTTGAGCCTGCTCCCCGCATACGCCCTCGTCGGTCTCATCACATATGGTACAATGGTAGGTGTAGGAAGACGACACTGCATGTTCTGTACTGACAGTTGTAGACCCAAGTACACGAGCTGGGCTATACCGAATGCGCCAAGTCGTATGTTTTCCGTGGAAGCAAGGACTATTCCTCCAAGCAAGTCCACGAGATGCTCGGACTTACTCAGATGGCTCCCCGACCTGGTGTCCCCCAGCAGCCTGGCCGACCGCCTGTGCCACCCCAGGGTGGCGCTGGCACGCGCTTCATCCTACCCGTGTCGCAATGCGAATTACAATTGACCAACGCTCTTGAGTCGATTCAACGGGATCCTTGGCCTGTCGCGAACGACAAGCGCCCTCTGAGGTGCACCGGTGTGGCACTCAGCGTTGCTGCTGGACTCTTGGAGACAAACTTCTTGAACACTGGCGCCCGTATCATGCTGTTCAGTGGTGGCCCAGCCACCGAGGGCCCTGGTATGGTCGTTGGGCCCGAGCTGCGCGAGCCCATCCGATCGCACCACGACATCGATCGCGACAACATCAAATACTACAAGAAGGCGCTCAAGTTTTACGAGGGACTTGCGAAGCGCGTTTCCCACAACGGCCACATTGTAGACATTTTCGCTGGATGTCTGGACCAGGTTGGTCTGCTTGAAATGAGGGGCCTTGCGAACACCACTGGTGGACATATGATTCTGACCGACAGCTTCACGTCATCCATGTACAAGCAATCCTTTGCGCGAGTGTTCAACAAGGATGCCGATGACAACCTCCTCATGGGCTTTGGCGCCAATTTTGAGGTGTTGACAACAAAGGAGTTGAAGATCACTGGTCTTATTGGACACGCTGTGTCGCTGAACAAGAAGTCTGTCTCCGTTGGTGAGACTGAGTGTGGTATCGGAAATACATGCGCATGGAAGATGTGCGGTATCGATCCTGAGTCCTCTTACGGTATCTACTTCGAGATTGCTAGTCAAGGCGGACCAAACCAGATGCAGGCCGGACAGCAGCAGGCTCTGATTCAGTTCCTCACATACTACCAGCATTCCGCTGGCCAGTACCATCTGAGAGTGACCACTGTCGCCCGCCCTCTGAGTGGTCCTTCCGGTGACCCTGCCATCGCTCAGTCCTTCGACCAAGAAGCTGCTGCCGTCCTCATGTCGAGGATAGCAGTCTTTAAGGCTGAGGTTGACGATGGTCCAGATGTCCTTCGATGGGTTGACCGCATGCTTATCCGATTATGCGCTCGCTTCGCTGAGTACAGGAAAGACGACCCGTCGTCATTCAGGTAAGCATACCTGTATTCCGAGAAGTGGAGTCCTTACTTCTCCTCTTCTGTGTTCATTTGCTTCAATATAAAATACTGACTATTGAACTAGGCTCGAGAAGAACTTCACACTATACCCGCAATTCATGTTCCATCTTCGTCGGTCACAGTTCTTGCAAGTCTTCAACAACTCGCCTGACGAGACCGCTTTCTACCGTCATGTCTTGAACCACGAGGACGTTAGCAACTCGTTGATCATGATTCAGCCAACACTAGACAGCTACGGCTTCGATCACGAAGGCGGCCAGCCCGTGCTGCTCGACTCCAGTTCGATCCAGTCTGAGACTGTCTTGCTGCTTGACACCTTCTTCCATATTCTCATTTTCCACGGCGAAACAATGGCCGAGTGGCGGAAAGCTGGCTACCAAGAGCAAGAGGGTTACGAGAACTTCCGAGAGCTTCTGGAGGCACCGAAGGAGGATGCCAAGGAGCTCATCCAGGACCGATTCCCATTGCCTCGATTCATCGTCTGTGACGCCGGCGGTTCGCAGGCGCGTTTCTTGCTCAGCAAGCTCAATCCCTCGACAACGCACACAACCGGCAGCTACGGAGGCGTTGCGCAAACAGCTCAGACCATTTTCACCGACGATGTCAGTCTGCAGACCTTCATGGACCATCTGATGAAGCTCGCCGTTTCAGGCACAGGCTAGATACGTACCGCCTTGTGAAAGTAATTGTCATCAATCGCGTAGCGGCGGGGCAAAAGAGGAATTGTATGTGTGGTCTTTGTGTTACATCATTAGCGAGAAATGAAATCCTTGAATGTCCAAATACCTTCCACCCGACTTGTAACAACGATATGCAAATTTGCTCAGAACAGTAGTTCCTGAACATCAAGCTTAATTTCGGGTATAATGTACTATCATAGCCCTTGCTCGTCTTTCACGAGATATCCATGTTCCCGTCTACAGCTTACTAAGATCAAAGTCCTTAGCCTCACTACCACTGACATGCTCTTCTGCGAGCATCTTTCCTGTACCCGGAATCTGAAACGGCTCTGCAGGCTGCACAAAAGCAATGAACCTACAAGGCTCAGTCTCAGACGGGTTATGCCATTTATGCATAGTACCGCGCTGGATAATATGATCCTAACTCAATCTATCAGCACTGCGTTCGCAGCAGCAAAATTCCACGTTCTTCAACTATCTGCAAAGAAATCGCGAGCATGAAGACACAGAGAAGCAAACAAAACGTACCCCGGGGTTCAAATTCACCATCTCTCCTGTGGCAGTCTCCAATTTTACCTTTCCATGCGTGCAGACTACGTAGTCGATGGATACAGTTTGGTGCATCTGACTGGCTTGTCCGGGGCCGAGTTCGCAGACAATGAGGTGGGAACCCGATCCCTTGGATACGATGGAGCGGCCAGTGTAACTGGCGTCTCCTTCTTTGGATGTGTATGCCTCGATGTCCTTGTCGCCCTCGAGAGTGGCTGGAGAGGAAGACGTGGCATCTAGTTATAAAGCCTTGCATCAACAGCTGGTCTTGTATTTGCTATGGTGAGAAACAAGACGAAGCGTTGAGACTCACATGATCGAGCTGTTCCACCGACACCTGGGTAGCCGTAGAATTGTAGCGCTGGGCTTGAGTGGATAGTGCTTTTGCCCTGCTCGTTGTGCGTGATGATGTAGCGTTTGGCTGGAGGTAGTGATGTGATGGACTCGTACATCTCCGATGAGGCAAGGCGTGCGTCGTTTTCCGCCATTATGAAGAGGTGGTTTCGAAAACAGATGGAAGAAGGTGGATGCGATGAGGGGTAAGTAGCGAGAATTCCTTGACGAGGTATCTGATGTTAGCAATGCAGAAGTGATGGTGATGTTCGTGTCATATGTACTTTTCTCTTATAGAGCAACGCTTCCAGTACCTACTCAGAAGCGACTACAGATGATTGTAGACTTTCTGTCTGCAGGGCGAGATCTGATGTAAGCGCGGGATATTGTTGCGCTCCTTCTGCATGAGGCTTAGATGTGGACCAAAGATAAGGCTGAAGTACCCACCTGTGGAATACACGTCAATCATGTGGATAGCTATTGAAAATTGCAAGAAATGTGCCTTTTGTAGACCAGACATGGTTGGTAGATTGCTGCGTTGGTATGTACACACTAAAACCATGTTTTGTCTACTTGAACGCCCGGCTCATCGAAAAGCTGAAGAATAGTAATCGTAAGCAGCCACAACCATTAAACATATACAATGAAGTTATACTATTCATTGCTCATCTGACGTCAGCGCTATTAGGCTTTGGCCTTTTTGGCCGCCTTCTTTGGCTTGGTAGCGGCCTTCTTCTCCTCAACTTCCTCAGCAATAGGCTCAACAACGACCTTCTCCTTCTTGGCCCGCTTGCTCTTAGGTGTTGCTTCCGGAACAGTCTCCTCCGTAACGGCAGCAGCCTCGAGTGCGACATCTGACTTGCGCTTGCTGGTCCTCTTAGGCTTCTTGTCTGCAACAGGTGCAGTGGGTTCAGCAACCTCCTCAGTTGCGGCCTGAGCGGGTTCAACAGCCTTCGCTTTTGGACCCTTCTTACCCTTCTTTGCGGGTGCAGGGGAGACAGCCTCGACAGCCTCTGTGACCTCGACAACCTCTGTGGGCTGAGGCTCTACTTGAGCCTTCGCACCCTTCTTGCCTTTTTTGCCCTTTGGTGTGGTAGTCTCCTCAGTAGCTGCCTCGGTAAGAAGCTGCTTGGGCTTCGCGGGCTCGAGAGTAGTTATGATGGTGTGCTTGGGAATACTGTCAACTGTCTTAAGTGCCGGTGCTTCAAACTCGTAGTCGAAGGTCTCTTTGAGTTGCTTAGCCTTGCTTGTCCTCCTCTTGTTCTCGTTTTCGATGCGCTTTCCCCATTGCTCTCGTCCGACACCACGCTCCATCTCAAGACCGGCCTTTTTGTTGCGGGGGTCGACCTTGAATCGCTCGTTGGCACCCTTGAAGAGATCTGGGTGGACCTGCTCATTGGGGATGAGATGAACTTTGAGAATGTGGCCGAACAGCAAGTAGTTGTTCATGGTTCGTGCGACGATGTCGGCGACTTCTTGTGATTGGAACTCGACGAAGGCAAAGTGCTTGGAGGCGCCAGTCTTTTTGTTACGCGACAGGCGTAACCGGTTGACTTTGCCAAACTGTGAGAAGTACTGCTTCATTTGAGGTTCGAAGAAACCGCGAGGCACGCGACTAGACGAAGTATTAGCAAACCATAGTGTACAATGAAGTGGTACACATACCCAACGTAGAGAACACCAGGCTCGTTGGACTTGGGTGCAGCCTCTGCCTGCTTGATCGCTTTCCGCTGTTTTGCGCTAAGTTTGGGGACCTTTGCGGCCTCGTCAAAGTTTTCGTCTTCGTCAGCATCATCCGAATCGGAATCACTGAAGCCAGCGAGTAGGGCTGCGGTCTGGTCGTCTTCGGCTGCGTCTTCTGCGTTGTCTTCTACTGCTGTGACCTCGGTAACCTCTACCTCGAGTTCAGTCGCTTCTTGCTTCTTTCCACCCTTGGTCTTCTTTGGCTTTGCGATAGTGGTGGTCTCCTCGACTACAACAGCAGCATCCTCGACAGGTGCGGCATCCGCTGCCTTTCCCTTCTTAGAGGCCTTAGCCTTGGGCTTGGGAGCCTCTGCTACGACAGTCTCCTCTGCGACTACAGTCTTGCCCTTCTTTGCTTGCTTCTTGGGCTTCTCTTGTACTTCGGCGACCTCGACTATCTCAGCGACAGGCTCCGCCATTTTAACATCGACATCAGCAGCGGCCTTGCTCTTCTTGCCCTTCTTTGGCTGGACAGGCTGGGCAACGGCGACGGGGGCAGCCTCTTCTTCAATGTCCATAAAGTCGGCAGCTTGTTTACGCGCAGATTTCCTGGTTGGCTTGGCTTCAACGGGCGCGACATCGTCCGACTTTCTGGGCTTCTTCGCCTTTGGCGCCGCCTCTGATGCGACTGAGATGGGTTAGCGAGCATATCCAGGATTTATTCTCGTCGTAATTACTCACCCTTGCGCTTCTTGCCCTTAGTGTCGTCGGCAGCCATGTTAAATTCCTGTGATTGCGTGAGGTTTGTGTGGTCGCGAATGTTGTTACGCGCAAAAGTTCGGAGGAGAGCTCAGGCGCGGGAACTTTTTTCGAGGGCAGTCGCGCTAGCGGACACTTGCCAAGATAGTCTCCCAGCCTTCACCGTCCACCTGCCATCTCATACACTCGCGCTACGTCAGAAGATATCAACTATATCGACGCTCACTAAACACTGTGCTGTCAGTTTCTCGGGCTGTCTGTTTGGCTTGCTCTACTCGCCACCAAATTACTCTAGGTCCGGCCAACATGGCGCCCGTCGTAGATATGAGCGACAAGAACGCGTGGGATGATTCTCTACTGATCGATTCCTGGGATAGCGCGGTTAACGAGTATAAAGTACGTCTCCATGAACCACCATTTCGTGATCTTTGGAGGATATCGACTAAACAGGTTAGAAATATCACAGCATCCACCAATCGGGTAAGAAACTTGAAGACGTCCTAACTGAGGAGGAGCTAAAGGAAATACGAGCGTAAGTAGCTTCTAACGCTGTACGTGATGATGCTGACGTTTGTAGGGACTATGGAGACTTGATGGATGGAGCGGAGACGGCATCGGCAGCAGCAGAGACCAACGGCGTCGCGGATCATGAAGATGTCGATACGCCAATGTCAGAAACCAATAGCGTTGCTCAGGCAGACCAAAGCGGTCCGTCGCCGCAGCAGGTACGTGGACATGCGAAACAGTCGAGTACCGAACCCTGTCTTACAAGAACCAGGAACCAGATCTCTCCGGAGAGCAAGAACCGCAGATCCAATCGCCAAGGGCTGAGGCTCCTCCGGTGCCACATGCTGCCGGAAGTCTTGCAGATGCCATGCCGCAGGCCATTCTTGGAACAGGTAAGTCTTGATTTTGACAGCCGTTGCTTCCGGACGATGTGGGGAGCTTGACAGTTGATGACATGCTGACTGTGTACAGTGCAGGATGAGAATATGAAGAACATTATGATGTCGTGGTATTATGCCGGTTACTATACTGGTCTGCATGCTGGACAACAGCAGGCTCTCAAGGAGCCCCCATCAACACAGTAGCAGATCCACAAAATGGCGACTCTTGAAAGCATTTACGTCAAACTGTGGCTGCCCAGCGCGTTTGGAAGGCACAGTAGACATTTCGAGGATTGAATGTCATTATTTTGAACCAATGGGGTGAGAAACCTCATGGTCCAGCCCTTGTACGCGACTGACCACCTATACAGGTTGTGCCTCAAAACTTCGGGAACACAGGCTGCGAGATGAAAGCTCTGCAGTTCCTTCATGCGGCTGGCGAGTTCCCAGCCCCATCGTTCAGGCATCTTGGATAGTTGTGTCCCTGCGCTTATAGCCTTGGTGGTTCATAGATTACCGAATCGGGCGGAAGCGAGACAGATCTGCGACACCACCGCGACAGTCTCGAACCCACCTCCAACGGTTCGAGCATCAAACACCCCCGCCGTTGCGCCCAGCCAAGTGCGCATCACCAAAATCTCGCCATTCTTGCAGGCGATCAACGTTTCTCCCAGTGCCATGCCGAGAGCAGGGGGCTGGTGTTTCGCCATGTGCGCGACCGGCCCGCAAGCTCTTCAGTGTCAACAATTTCATGCGTGGATTTAAGGAATAGAATATCCCCAGGCATAAACTTTCTCCTCATCTCATCGCTCTTGCCTCATAATACCAGTGCTCCACTCTCTTTCTCTTACTTCATCTGCTTCTTATTGTCCGAGCCGGCCCTCGCAGTGCCCTTTCAATCCTTCAACCTTCTATCGTACATTCTAGTGCTTGCAGCGCAGGCTTACGTTCACTTTTACGACACTTTACACGATACGCAATCTAGTCATAATGAAGTACTTCACAGCACTACCCTTGGCAGCCGCGCTTGCATCCGCCGAGATGCAGGTCATGAGCCTTGCTCCTGCCGCTGCGACCGGCGCGATGACACACACTGTAAGCGCATCCTCAAACCCTATTACTGAGTCTCATTTAACAAATTGTAGGTCGTCGTTGGTGGAATGAAGCCTGTTGCGACCGGCATGGCGCCCGTTCTAGGATACAGCCCCGAAGCCATCAAGGCCGCTGTCGGCGACATGGTCATATTCGAGTTTATGCAGAAGAACCACACTGCCACCCAATCAACCTTTGCTGAGCCTTGCAAGAAGATGGAGGGAGGAATGGACTCTGGCTTCATGCCCAACCCCGAGGGCAAAGCTGGCGTCACATGGAACATGACTGTTGAGACAACAGACCCGCTTTGTAGGCTTTCCACGTTTATCGAGAAGGTGTAACAAAGACTAACATTATCAAGGGTTCTACTGCAAGCAACAAAACGGTATCCATTGTGGAAAGGGCATGGTATTCAGTATCAACGCTGCCGAGACTGGCGACAAGACCATGGCCGACTTCAAGGGTCTCGCCATCAAGACCAACGGTACAAGCCTTGTTGCAGGCGATCTCCAGTCTGTTGACCCCAACGCCGCTGCCGCCCCTACTACCGTCACCCTTGAGGCTGGAGGTGCCGCCGCGACTGGAACCGGCAGCAGTGCTCTCGCTTCCGCCACCGTTGTCGCTGGACAGGGAACAGATGGTGCTGGTCAGACTTGTACATGCCAGTGCCTCTGCGGCATGGCTTCTTTCCCGGAGACCGCAGCCATCAACAACTTCGGTGGTTTCCCCGGCATGATTGCCTAAACGCCCTCACGACGAAACTTGGAGAGACGGTAATGAGGAGGATGGATCGACTGGGTGTATGCGTCTGGTTGGTCTTGTGTGGTGGTCAAGAACAACATTCTTATGACGGATTCGGCAAAAACGCTTCTGGTTTAGCATTTGTCCGGATTCTTATACCATTTTTATCATTTGCTGGGGCGTTTCGCATTATACCGTAATCCACATGCTGCGATGATTGCCGCGCGGTGGTGCTATTTAGGACTTGATTGCAAAGATGTAAACCTTTAGTATTAGAGCTAGATCCAAGAGATCGCACTTTCAAACTCCATGTTTTCCCTCAGAAATGTTGTTGGTACTTTACTGTTGTTTTCCAGTTGTGACAAAATATTCTGTTGCAAAGGAAACTAGGCGCGATGGGTTCCTCACGGCATTCAAAATCAGAAATCGGTGTATTCGGTATATCGAAAATCAATCCAAGCACACTCTTTCGCCTTCTAATCCAAACCCAAGAAACTCCGCTCCCATGATGCCAGGCTTCTAAACAGGTTGACCTGCGACTGTGGCGTGTCAAACTTTGGTCGTTATCGCGTTGCGCATCTCGTCTGACCGCTCATTTCTTAGCGCCCTCAGCAGCCTTCTTTGCCTCAGCTACACAAGGAGTCAGCATCGGATTGTTACACACAGCGCATAGCCTTTTCAAGTCTGTGCAGGCTCAGAATGCGACAATGGTAACTTACCAGCAGCTTGCTTAGCACGCATGATCTCCGCTACATTCTCCTTGGTGCGTGCGAACTCGGTACCGGATTGCTGCAGCCTGTGATCAGCCAACATCCTTCAAAAACCCTATAGACAGCTTCTCTCATATGCACATACAGTGTTCTTGCTTTTCTATTTGTCAAGTCAGCGGATGATTCCTTGAAGAAAACCACGGCACGTGTAGTTGTGCGTGGTAAAAACAGCGACAGAACATACCTTTCCGGCCTGCTCCTTGAGGTTCTTCTCCCGAGCCTTGTCGCGCTGGTTGCCACGAGCCATTTTATCGTGTTTTTCGAAGGTGATGCACGGGAAGTTTCCCGAATCTGTCTCTTCGAGCTGGTTGTTGCAGCGTGCGAGGCCTTGACTTGGAATACTCCTTAAGGGCGCTGAGGAAATTAGAGGTTTGGGTAGTCAGCGGCGGAAGTTCTGATAAAAATAGCGCGTTGTTTGTTTCCGCTGGCCAATCGATGGCAGGGGAAATCACGGGCTAGAACGTGGAAGGGGAAGCCGCGATTCGGGGTTTCTTCGCCACGTGCATGGACCTTCACGATCTTCCTTTTTCATTGAGATCGCTGTTTACTTTTGTTTATAATACCCGTTGTTGCACTGTTGTTGCTTGTTTGATGGACTTGACGTCCGTTGTTCCGAACACGCTCCCTGCTGCTGTTGGTCTGGTACGAGGAACTTCTAGTTCTGAAAATGAGCCACTCTATAGCACAACCTAGCACCACCATTGTTTACTCTTCTCTGTGATTACATCTCGCAAGCTCAAATATACGACAAAAGTAGGCTACGTCTCACAAAATACCTTGCATCGTGCGAATCGCAATGCACATCAGGCGGCAGTGGCTATTGTTAGCACGTTCAGCGCCCCGCACAAGGCTGAAGGTTGACTTCGGTAGCAGTACTCTACAGCCCGCTATTTGCGCCAATAGTTCTGAGATAGATTGGACCGCCAGCTGTATAAGAATGCTGCATGGGCTTCTTTACACAGCCTCTCCTTCTATGTCTCTAGGTATCAGCCCTCTGTCACAGCCCTCTCTGAATCTCTACTGAACTATCTCATTCACAATCGTCTTATGGTATTTGTCTGCCGCTTGTCGTGGTAGATCAACGCAAGTCGAGAGTTGCGACCGCAGTGGAGATGGCTCAGTACGTCTATCAGCCTTTAAATGAAAGCAACAGCGAAATCAGGCTGATAACGTTGCTACCTTCATCGGATCGAGACAGCGAAGTGATCTGCGACCTCAAAATTGTTCGGCTTACAAAAGAGGACACCCCACACTACATAGCACTATCGTACACCTGGGGTTCCGCAGAATCACCTACGAGGCTTCGAGTCTCGTCAGAAAATGATCACAGTATCAATATTACCAGAAACCTTGCAGAAGCTTTACCAAATCTTCGCGATCGTGTTTCATCCAGAACACTATGAATCGATAGCATTGCTATCAACCAAAAAGGTCTAGCGGAGAGGAGCCAACAGGTCCAGCCGATGGCTGATATCTACAGTTTAGCAGCGGGAGTGATTGTTTGGCTGGGCAAAGACGACGCCAGCAGTAAGGTGACTATGGAAACGTGCATGATCCTTGGTACCAAGGTTGAGGTTGAATTCAACAGAGAGAAGAAACTGAGAAGCCTGATTGATGGCCCGGATGATGCTCATTGGGTCGACATGAGACAACCGCTTCCATACGACTTCGCAACATGGCAGGCGATCCTAGATTTTCTGCGCCGACCGTGGTTCCATCGCCTCTGGATTTGGCAAGAAATAAGTCTAGCCAAATCGAATGCTGTCATTATGTGTGGCACCGACACGATGCTATGGAAACGACTCCGCACATTGCTAGATTGTATTGTCTATAAGCACTGCCTAATTCCATTTGTAGGCGATGAGACTGAAGACGCAAGTGTGTTCGTGTCGAACGCGTATAATCTAGCAAGGGGCATGGAAGTTTCGCTTTTGGATCTGCTTGCATATATGCGACGTGCTCAATGTCACGATCCACGAGACCGGGTATACGGTATCTACAGATGTGGAGATGCGAAGTCAGTGTATGTCTTACATGCATTTCGTACAGTCATAACTTGCCTTAGGATTATCATTCAAGATTGGCACGGGAACAGACCTACGACCCGATTACAGCAAGCCAATAGTGGACGTGTACATGGACCTTATGATGGCCTCAATGCAGAAGTTGAAACGTCTTGACTTGTTGTCCCTATGCAGATACGAGGAAACGAGAGGAAAGTGGCCATCCTGGATACCTTGTCTCATGGACTTGGAAAAGGGGCGTCACATACCCTCGTTTGCGTCTGGGAAGTCATGCTGTGAGGTAGAACTGCTGGAAAACAGGATACTGCGGATGACCGGAATACGTCTGAGTCAAATCACCATGGTAGATGAGTTTGATGCGTCTTATGAAAACACTCAATCTGTGATCCGACGGTGGGCGGAGATAGCTACGTGCCCGGATTCAGCAGCAATGAAGGGTTCTTAGGACCTCTACCTAAAGGTTATAGAGAGGTGCAACGCTACAACGCTCAATCAAGGATGGACTATTGGGTCTACCTGGATTCGGAGACTAGGAAGATTCAGGTCGGAGATCCAAGGCTGGGTGACGGGCTCCCTTCAGGTTGGCAGCGAGTCACTGACATTGAAGGGCGATTCTGGGAAGAATATGTCCATGATGGCGCGTCGAGTACGCGGAGTACCGCTGGAAGATATTGAGTTTTCGTAGGCGACGAATTTCGGAAATTTTGACCAAGTGAGTTTCTAGTGCTCGAGGCTATCACGAATCCCCACAAGCTGTGTTGTGAGAATACAGATGGTGTGAAGGTAGGGCCCGTGATACGAAGCACGTGAAGGAAAGAATCGCGACAAGCGGGGCTTATCTGTCAGGCTACGCGCTAAGCGAGACCCTGATCAAAGTGATCGCGCTCTCCCGCGCTATGTGCAGAACATTTCCCCTCGCTTCTACACCAACATATCCACTCGATCCACCACCATGCCTATCTCCAAGAAGGACAGAGTACGTTGAATACCAAACACTGGCTGCTGCTCATGTGATATACTGACACCCTCAAAAGATCCAGCGCGAGCACAAGAAGGCGGACAAGGCTGGCACCCGCGCGCCAGTCAAGGCAAACGGCCTGCCCGTGAAGCCGCCCAAGCCCACGTCCATCGTAGGCACTCTCGCGCTTCCTACCTGATGCTCTTGCATTGCATGGCATCATTGCGCACAGCTGACCCTCCATTTAATACAGTGCCAGAACTGCCGCCGCGAGATCGTCAACACCAACAAGGCGCAGCTCGAGGCCCATGCCGCCAGCCACGACGCCACGGCGTGGCCCAAGGAAAAGTGCTGGCCAAACGACTTCTGAAGGATTGTGTCTTGGGCTTGGAATGGTCGGCACGACTACAATCAGTGGAGGCACACACGCGCGAACATCCTTTGATGGGGAATATCCAGCAGAGGGCAGGCAAATGACCGACTTCGCACTACGAGGAAGGACGTCTTAGTTGCTGTATGATTATACCACATGGCCCAAAGGAAGGACATGTCATCCCGCAGCCACGCACGCTTGCTGGGGCAGGCGTGCAAGCAGCCAGTAGTCACTCCGAAGACTCAGTATTTGAATGGCACCTGTCACATACTCATGGAAAGCACAAGTGCTCCCTGATGCTGTCTGTCTGCACACACACACACACACATATATATATATAAATGTTTTTGCAAGACTCTCTCTGGTATGACCAGCGATTCGCACCGGAAGCGTAGTGGCCTCAGCGGTATTCACACCTCTGTCGTCTGAGCTACACAGTCTGTCCGCACGCATGTTCGAGATGTGTCGCTGACATCCCAGCACTAACCCAAGACTCTCCCACTCGTTCGCGAAAGCAGTGGAGCCCTCTCTTCTCGATTCAACCTCTCTTCACCCTCGCCGCCTCCATGGCTGCTCTTCGTCCTCCAAACAATATACGAGTACCCAAGCGGTGGATAGAAAAATACACTGTGCAATGTTAGACCATCCATTCCTATCAGATAAAACGCCATCCTACATCAGTAGCAGACTTGCAAGCGCATCATGCTGAACTCGTCTCTTGACATAGTCTGGATCCACGTATGTGTCAGGGGCATGGTCATGATGTTGGACACGCCATGGGCCGAACGCAGAATCCAAGATAAGCCAAAGCCACAGTCCCGTTGCAAGCACCGATTTTGCAGCCTCGAACATAAGCACCTGGTAGGGCATCGCAATTGCTTTGCGCTGTACGTATACGATGAACACGATGCCTGCAGCCATAAATGCCGTCATTGAGGGTGCACTGTCGAGACTGTTAGTCTGCGTGGGACACGTATATTGCAACAAAGCGCAAGCAAGACCCACAAGAAGGAGTAGAAGTCCTCTCGGTAAGGAAACACCATCTGTTCCCATGCAAAGAACCCCAAAATGACCATTGTGGGTATTGAAACGATGGCCTGGAAGATGCCAAAGCCCCGAAGAGTCTGTTGCCCAAGAGGGCGATTGTCCACACTTGCCATGCCAGTAATGCTGTTCAACAGTACGACTTATTAGCCCTGGAGTAATTCAATGTGCAAAAAGAGGTTTGCCATCCAGTAGTGTTGGAAGAAAACGGAACACCAATGTGCCCTGTGGTCTTGATCCGAAATCGTGGCGAGGTGCAAATGCTGCTGCCTAGGTATGTGAAACATTAATATGAAGGATTGTGGCGCAGCCCGAATATCGTATTGATCCAACCCAAAAGCACGAAAGTTCGCCTTGGTCTACCGATTGATTGCATGCATGCTTATCTTTTGTCCAACATCAAATCGTCCCCACATCTACGGAATGCTGAGCAAAAGCCGAGATTCACTTGATTTAAGATCGAGGTTGGCAGTACTGGTATCGTTTACCACAGTATATGTAATATGATTTGTTGCATTTGCCATCCCTTGCTGGAGGTCATTAACACTGCCACAAATCCGTAGACATTACATATCGCTCTACTTCTTTTCCAGCCTACTCTTCTCGTCGTTCAATATCTCCTCAACATTATCTTCAATGCTTGGTCCTTTCGGCTGCCATCCGACTAACTTTTTCGCCCTCTCAGCCTTACCGCGGCTGTTGAAACCCCAGCTTACAGCCTCGAAACCTGCCTGCTCAATCGCCTTGTCCTTGCCAAGCTTTTCCTCTTTCAACTCTTTCTTGTCGACGAGACCTAGCTCCGTTGCTTTCTTACCCATGAGGCGCGCAAGATCTGCCCATAGATGCTCTCCGTTCTCTACGATATAGTACCCCTGTTCGTTCCAGAGCTTGGAATCAGTGTTGCTATTCACGGCGGCTTCGGTCAGCAGAACGAAGAGTTGGGCAAGGTCTGAGACGTGGACGTTGTTCCAACGCGCTTTTCCTTGGCCAATGATGGGGATATATTGACCAGTCAAGATCAAGTGTGCAAGTTCGTATGCCTGTCTGCTTCTAGTGTTCAGCGGGCCTCGTCCACGCCCGTAAATGGTCGGTGGGCAGAGGATAGCTGTCTTGACCGACTCAGATCCAGCTGCCAGCACAAGGTCATCGACGTTCTTGTGGAAAGCATCCTTTGGCAATCCAGTCAAGTCTTGCACGGCTGTCCAATCGTTGTATTCACGCTCCGACCATTCGCCCAACTTGTTGTCGTCTCGCATAGTCTCCCAGCACAGGATACCAGTGCCACCAGTGTGCAGCCAGAATCCAGGCTTCTCCTTGGAGTGGCCAGATGCCAGGCCCTTTGCGATCGCTTTCGCGGCGCCTTCGTGGTCAGATGCGTCCGCAGTGTCTGTGAATCGTCAACGCTGACTGCATTGTCATTCGATTCCATAGGTAACTTACGAATTACTACATCTGCCTTTGCTGCCTCATCTTCCAGGATCTTAGAATCGTCCAAACCACCAATGACGATCCGTACCTTGGGGAAAGCCTCGGTGACAGACTTGGCTTTCTCCTCTACGCCCTCATCAGTATGTTGCACTGTCCACGGAGAGAGCACTAGTAATTACCTGTCCGCACAAGAGCCGCAATCTCGTAATCAGAGTGCTTGTTGTACAGCGCAAAGAGGGTGTCGCCTCCAATATAGCCAGTTGCGCCGGTGCTGAAGGGGGTGAGAAATTAGCAATTCGATCGACATTTCGACGGATTCACATACAGAAAGATTTTAGGTGCCATGATTAAACGGTTAGAATATGAATCTGTGATGCAAGTTGCTAGAATCTCGTCTTGCGTTTGTGCTGATGCACCTCATATCATTGATGGAGCACCACGACCGCATGTGACGTCATCATGCCAGAAACATCGGGACTACTGGAAGAACCTTTTATCGCACGGCAAGCCCCAAATCTAGCCCTACTGATGTTGCATACAGAACGTCACCTTTGCGCCTGGTACTGTTGTTAACGGCTACAACCATCCTTACATTCACATAAGACTTGAATCAGTATGTAAGTGGCGTGTCGCATAGCTGCATATTGCACAGCTTGCATCCTCTCGGCACGTGGTTGTCTCAAAAAGGCCATGCTTAATGTCCATAGGTATGGCAACGATAGATTACTGTAAACTGCGGCTCAAGCCACTTCTGACACCTCTGGAAATTCATCACCAACTTTGGAGAATGCGCCCTCTTTTCCTTTTTTCAACGTCATATCCAAGAAGGTAGCAACATACTCAGTCACAAGGGTTGTCATTCTGCGACCCTCGATATTACCCAGAAGCTCTCCAACCTCCGCTGGCAATTTCCCATCTAGACCCAACGCGGTTACGACCAAGGGAAGGTCTGAGAAGCTGTAGTGCACAGCATTCTTGACTTCGAGCTCCTTCTTCCAACCAACGAGGCGTGGCCAGAGAGTCTTCCAGGATGGATCAGTCTCTTGTGTCTTGTTTTCGTGGCCCATGAGCATGAAGGGACCGTCGAAGCCGGTTGTTAACACAGAACCAAACATGGAGCCGTCAAGATTGACTCCACCTCTGAGAGAAGGCATATTCATCATTGCAGTAGCTGCTGCTGCACCACCCAAGGAATGTCCAACAACGGCCATTTTGGATTGCCTTTCAAGGCGCAAACCTAATGGAAATAGATCCTTCGAAGCCGAGACGTTGTAAATCTGGTTAGAGACGAATTCAATGTCCGCGACTCGTGTGCTAAGGGCAAGCTCTATGTCCGCGTCGCTGTCAATCTCGACACCGGTCACTATAGTACCATCGGGGAACTCAACCATGTCGGCATCGTAGGGATGGTCGATGGAGAGTACCAAATAACCAGCAGACGCGATATTCTGGAGCATGGCATTATACAGATGTCGAGACGTGGCGAGTGCGCCTGAGAACAATACGACGGGCAACGAGTGGCTGGAGCAAGCGTCTTGTCTTGCTGGAGTCACACACGTTTCGAGACCCAGTGATTGGAAGCTTCCGTTGGGGAGACCGTATGCGCCCATCTTGGTATCCATGAAATTTGCTGTAGCAGGCGGCATATAGGAATCGATTTTTCGGCGGCGACAATGAGTGACGGGATAGAAGCTGGACACCACGACAGATCGAGGACTGCTGTTATTGGCGAATGGATCTAAGCGACTATGGTCTGTGAGCGATGCGGTAGCAACCGTCACATCGTAGTGGTGGGACCCGAGGACGGGGAGTACGGTTCTGGCAGATACAATGCCTGGTGAAGATGCCAGAAGTACAAGTAAAATTGAATTGCAGAGACCCATGATATCGAAGATTGATGAGGAAGATGGTATGCGGAATTTCGCTGCGATTTGGAAGGAAAGGGTAGAGAATGCTGGCTGTGTTCAATTTGTAGCAGTGCTGCAGTGGTATCTATAGTTCCGGCTTGAGTGGAAGATATATGCTCAACCCTCTTCAAAGCGCTCTATCATGACCAAAAGCAGACATAGCAGCAGGTACTGTCGTAATTAGCCAAAGATGACAATGCAGCAGAGCCGCAGTTTGACCGATATGGTTGGTACAGGTGGTTCCCTCGGTGGCTCATCGGTGGTATTAGTGTTTAGTCTCAACGAAGTCTAGACGCGTTCTTTCGCTTCCTAAATCGGTTAAGTCGAATGGCACCGACTCTACTAGGGCCCGCTGCTCGTATGCTTCGTTCGTTGTCAAGCGATACCATTTCCTAAAGCATTCTTCTTGACATTCCGAAGTCTTCAATGTTGTCTGGAAACAACCCCTCTTTGGGTGCCGTGCACTAACAAGTAAGCATTGCCGCCGCAATCCAACTCAGCGTTCGAGGCATCGCAAGCAACATGTCACCGAGCATTGGGCCGTATGATGGTCGTAAGGCTCGACGAAAACGATGCGGAGCCTGTGTCAAGCGAAAGATAAAGGCGAGTGTTCTGGCCATCTAGAGTCTGAACTCGCTGACAGGCTAAGTGCGATGGAGGAATGCCATGTGACCGCTGTAAACGGACACAACAAACATGCATAGCACCCACATGGCCCGCGACTTCGAGCTTCGTCTTCGTCAACCCAAAAACTAAGCCCGAAATGCGGCTTTTACCACAAGTTAGCTTGGACAAGACTGAGCGAGAGGTGAAATACTTCTTTAGCTCATTTTTGCCCATGAACACTTTCTCGTATGGTAACTTGCTAGTGCAAAGGGAGCTGCAAGGCATAATGCACTCCTCGAACGCTTTGAGAGATGCTCTTTGCGCAATAGCGTCTCTACACAGATTCCAGCAGATTCGATGTTCAGGATCAGGGGTTGAGGATGGGAACTGGTACCGGAGTGCAATGCTGCTTTATGTTGGATCGGTTCGCTGTGTTCAAGCCCAAATTACCCAGAACAAATTTGCAGACGATCCTTCCACTCTCTGGACGACGTTCCTTCTTGGCCTTTTCGAGGTATGCGAAAAATGTTAGAGCAGACGTGATCATAGTCTGACATAGCTTAGTTGATGTGCGACGCCAGCGGAACCAATTGGCTCTCGCACTTCTTGCACGGAACTTGCACGATTCTACGTCTTCAACATCCTTCCTGCCTTGCTCTTGCAGACGAAAAAAGTACGCGAAAGCGTACCTTCTTCCTCTCTGCTCGCATATTCGAGATATCAAGGGCCTTGATCTACTCTGAGCCTACCTTCTTAAGTGAGCCTGCATGGACTAGCGCACTAGCAGATCTTTGGAGCGGCGAAGGAGCCGCTTTTTGGCACCCCAAGGAAGCACTCTTCGATATGCTGCCTAGCTTTTCCGAATTGAGTATACGCGCAATCAAGTTCTGCGCATCAGAAGCAGAGCATCTATCGGAAAAAGTGCAGACTGAACAAGCGCAGTACCTGGCCGCTGAAGGCTTGCTACTTCAACAATCTTTGCATGAATGGTGGGATGGCAGCAACGCATGGCAGTCTGCATCAGGTGCATTGGACACAGAGCTTCTTGTCGCCCACGTGTACTATCATGCCGTCAGCATCTACCTCTCAGGTACTTATGACTATCATGTGCACTGGACCAAGCCTACGGCGCCACGTGCGCCGATTTTACCTCGTACTCAGATCGAGTGGCACACACACGAAATCCTTCGGTTGAGTCGTGAGTTGTTGGTCACTGGAATTGCAGGGGTGCTGCTGTTCTTCCCTTTGAGGGTCGCAGGAGCGCGTGTTCGGACTACCTGTGATATGAAGGAAATCTTGACCTTGTTCCATATTGTGTTGCAACGTGGGTATGCCGTTGCTGACGCGTTGACGGCAGATTTATTGGAATTGTGGGGGTGTAGCATTGTACCGTAGATGTCAGTGGAATCCAGAGAGGTGAATATGTCCTGCACAGTAAGACTCCTGGCGACGACTTCGAATCTCATAACGCAAGAGGTCATTGCAAGGTATACATGGATGGTTGGAGAAAGTGCATGGGGTGCTTTGACGACCAATCATGTTTGGGTTATTGGCTCTTGCAGCGCCTTGCCTATTTCAGCTAACAGGAAAAGGCTTGGCATAGCAGCACCGCTCGCAGCTTTCTGACGGGAACGTCGACGCCGCCGCCCACGCATTGCACCTCCACAACCACTACCCACTTCGTCACAATGGCTCTCGGACCTTCTGACATCCACGCAAAGACCAAGACCACGTATGTCCGCAACCCCGTCGAACGCAATCGCAGCCACCTTCCCCGAATGAAACCGGTCCTCGAACCACATTCCAGCGCACAACCATCGAAGTAGCAAAAGGAGTAGGCTGACAATGGCATAGATGGCACATCGGTTCATGGGGTAACCCCTACGAGGGCGGTGGCCGTCCCGGAAAGGGCGTCGTCACCTACGCACTGAGCCCCAACCGTCAGCGCCCCATGGCCACCTTCATCGGCAAGGGCTTCTGGAACGTCGTGCGCCGCTCGAGGAACCAGGTCCTCTACTTCATCCCACCTCTGGCCATCGCATACGGCACCATGCAGTGGGCTATCGAGAAGTGAGTTGATGGATATTGATGAGAATAGCAGGGACATGGCAGGGCATTGGTGCATGGGAAAGCAGGCTAACAATGGTAACAGGAACGAGTTCCTCAACTCCAAGACTGGCCGCGCCCTGTACGGCGACGAGGAGTAAGCGAGCGGAGAAGAAGAGCAATGAAGGCGGGTGTATAGTAAGAGGAGTTGGAGGGAGGAAGCGGAACACGACAATTCTCTTTGCATCAAGCCAACGAATAGACTGTACAACCAACATGCACGTTCCTTTCCACCGTGTCACATTCTCAATCTACTAGACAAAAGTCTGTCGCCCAGTACACGGCCCCTCATTGATCACTTCATATTCGGGGATTACACCACCCTCAAAAGGCGCAGTAATAGTGACTGTCTCCTGATCACTCGGATACGTTGTGACATGTCCCTCACCCGTCAGATCGGCAGCGAACAGCAGACCACCTTTGCCTCCGTGCAACCACAGCTCCCGAGACGGGTCTTGAGGCAGAGTGATGTGCGCGAGTCCAGCTAGCAACTGTACAATCCTCGGCATTGTCAGCGCAAATTAGTGTACGAGGGAGATCCGACTCACTGTGGCACAGGAGCGTTATGCAATCCGCCTTCGAAGCGTGGTGGCTGGACAACGTAGCTTAGATCCGTCACATTCCCTAGGTTTAATGCACGGCTTCCTGCGATGCCTGCTGTTGTAGATATCAAGAAAGGATTCCTCAGACGCCAACACTGGATGGTGGAGGTGTTTTGAGGCGTAGTGACTAACGCAGGCGCCGTAAGGTAGAGGGTGCTGTTTGATGTATCGCACGTTTGGGCAGTTATAAGGGAAGACAAGGAGAGCACGGCGAAGGCAGATACAGAGAGATGCATTGTTGCAGAAGGCTATGTTATGATCTCAGAATAACTAGCAGTTGGGTAGCCTCTTGTGTTCAAATATATTGTGGTGCGAAAGAACAAAGTTGACGCTGTACTATGCTATCGCTGCGGGCTGACTACCTCGGGGTAATAGCTGATCGGACATAAGATAATGAAACTAGTAGATCGGTGCATGAAGGCGCGTCCGGATGATCGACATGCAGTGCATTGATGGAGATGAATGGGTATGACATTATAGATCGCTTAGTCGTGATGTGATCATGTATGGCGGCCGGGCTGAGGCAGAAGCCAATCTAAGAAGAGCAGTCGTTATTCATCACCAGTGCGTCTCTTTGCAAAGCATTGGGATGAAGAGAATAAGCTCAATAGATGAAGGTTCACCCGAGTCAAATTCTAGGCTCAGGCTCTAGCACATGTTCACGCGTACGGGCGACCCCGCTTAGTCAGGTCGGCATGTCGGTGGCATGTAGAACTTCGATGATTCTGTCATATCCTAGCTTTCGCCATCGAAGCGCACCCGCCACAAGACATTCTCCTACTGCCAGCCCGAGGCAGTCTGAACAGGCGCGGTATTACTCTCACCCTGCTTATCTGTAATATACCCCAACCCATTGTTATACCCCACCCCGCAGTCCCGTCACATCTGTTCCGCCGCCATGTCGACACTCCTCCGCCGCTCAGGCAACTTAGCGCGACTATCCCGACCCTGCCTCAACGCTGCCACGAGGACACCACGCACATTACGCACACGAGCACCAATACCACAATGTATATATACCCAGCAACGGGCGCGGCGATTCGCAACCGGCCCGCCCGAAGAGCCCAAGAACAAGAAGGAGGGCGAGGCAGCCAAGAAGGATGGCCAGACAGACAAGCATGAGCCTGCTGATTCTGCAAAGAAGGAAGGAGAGGCCCAGATGTCCAAGCTTACACCCGAGGAGGAGAAGATGCTGGATCAATTAGTCTCCTTCGTGTCAATGGGCGTCCCCAAGTCGCAGAAGCAGAATATCAAGGAAGCAATGGAAGAGATCAAGCGCACCGGAATACCACCGGAGCTACGACACGAGATGGACAAGCTGGAGAGGGGCGAGAAGCTGGATCTGGCCACCGCGGCCAAGATCTCGCGGCTAACAACCAACATGGCCCGCAAGGCGGCTGATCAGCATCAGCAGAAATTCAAAGAGAATGGTTCCCAGGAACCACACCAGAAGTCAGGCGCACACGACCCAGGCCCAGGTACAGGTACAGGCAAAGGTTCCAAAGGTGGTGCTGGCGGAGCTGGCGGACCGGTCGGGCCCATGTTCGGAGGCGGAATGGATACCAACACAATCCTCATCAGCGCTTTCCTCGCATACATTACATACAAGACCATCTTCCCAGGCGAGAACTCCAAGGAAATAACATGGCAGGAGTTCCGAACGACCTTCCTGGACAAAGGTTTGGTCGAGAAGATTGTTATCCTGAATGGCAACAGGGCGAAGGTCCACCTGCACCGTGAGGCTGTCGCTGGCATGTACCCCGACTCGCCATCCGTCAATCAAAACTTCTACTATTACTTCACTATTGGATCCGTTGAGGCTTTCGAACGCAAGATGGACGACGCACAGTACGAGCTGGGCATTCCTAGCTCCGAGCGCATCCCTGTAGCATACTCCAACGAGATCTCCTGGTTCGGCACCTTCCTGTCCTTCGGTCCCACTATCCTCCTCCTCGGGTCCCTCTTCTATTTTACAAGACGTGCGGGAGGCGGCGCTGGCGGGGGTGGCGGCGTCTTTGGCATGGGCAAGAGTCGCGCCAAGAAGTTCAACCACGAGACGGACGTCAAGGTCAAGTTCTCAGATGTCGCTGGTATGGACGAAGCCAAGCAAGAGATTATGGAATTTGTCTCTTTCCTCAAGGACCCCAGCCGATTCCAGAAGCTCGGTGCGAAGATCCCTCGCGGCGCTATCCTATCTGGATCCCCAGGTACTGGCAAGACTCTTCTTGCCAAGGCTACTGCGGGAGAGTCAGGCGTTCCTTTCTTCAGTGTTAGTGGTTCTGAGTTCGTCGAGATGTTCGTTGGTGTTGGTGCATCGCGTGTCAGAGACTTGTTCGCCAATGCGCGCAAGAGCACACCCTGCATCATCTTCATTGACGAGATTGACGCTATCGGTCGTGCCCGATCGAAGCAGAACTTCGGTGGTGGCAATGATGAGCGAGAGGCTACTCTCAACCAGATCCTAACAGAGATGGACGGATTCAACACGACTGAGCAAGTCGTCGTTTTGGCTGGTACTAACCGACCCGATGTTCTGGACAAGGCGCTCATGAGACCCGGCCGTTTCGACAGACACATCAACATCGACAAGCCCACCATGGACGGCCGAGCACAGATTTTTGGTGTACACTTGAAGAAGATTATCACGAACGAAGACATGGAGTTCTTGAAGGGCAGATTAGCAGCTTTGACACCGGGCTTCTCCGGTGCCGACATTGCCAACTGTGTCAACGAAGCTGCTTTGATTGGTATGTAGCAATGCTTCCCTAGATCGTACATTTGCTAACGATCCGCAGCCGCTCGTGCCAATGCCGAGACCGTTGCAATGGTCCACTTCGAGCAAGCCATCGAGCGTGTCATCGGTGGTCTTGAGAAGAAGTCCCTTGTTCTAAAGCCTGAAGAGAAGAAGACTGTCGCCTACCACGAGGCCGGTCACGCTATCTGCGGTTGGTACTTTAAGTGGGCAGACCCCCTTCTCAAGGTCTCCATCATTCCCCGTGGTCAGGGCGCTCTCGGTTACGCTCAGTACCTTCCCAACGGCGACACATATCTCATGAATGTCAACCAGCTAATGGACCGTATGGCCATGACACTCGGTGGACGTGTATCTGAAGAGCTACACTTCGACACCGTCACCTCCGGTGCATCCGACGACTTCCGCAAGGTCACTCAGATGGCCACAGCCATGGTCAGCAAATGGGGTATGAGCAAGAAGATTGGATACATCTACTTCGAAGATGGCGAGGGCCAGCAACTCACCAAGCCCTTCTCCGAAGACACAGCCAAGAACATCGACATGGAGGTCAAGCGCATCGTTGATGAGGCCTACAAGCAATGCAAGGATCTCCTCACTGAGAAGAAACACGAAGTCGGTCTTGTAGCTGAGGAGCTACTCAAGAAGGAGATGCTTGGCCGCGAGGACATGATCAGGTTGCTCGGACCCCGACCTTACGAAGACAGCCAAGATTTCCACAAATACTTCTCTGGCGAGTATGGCAAGGCACCGGGATACGTCGAGCCGGCGGGCGACGGTGTCAAGGGGCCTCTAGTACCTCCTAGCCCAGCAACCTTCAAGGATCTGGATTCCAGGAGGTGAGGTGCTGAAGATGTAATTTATATCAATTTCTCTTTTGTGTGCATTATGGCATGTTACGACATGGATGGGGGGTTTTGGCGATGATCAAGGGGTTTCATTCCACTCTAGACGAGCATGCGCAAGGTGTCTTGTTAAAATAGACGCGCGTTTTGGCTTTGTAACAGTATAGTTCATCAGGTCAAAGAGAAAGACCAAGAACACAATTACCCATTGTAACGTTCAACCTTTGTGCTCTACGTACTCGTCACTTCTTGTTGCGTTCCATGTTAATCCGTCTTAAAGCAGCTTAATGCTTAAAGTGCGAGGCGCCATACAAGAACAACGAAGTTCCATGTCTGAGCAACGAGAAACCATGCAATGCTAATGAGCGTCCATACAATAACAGCGAGACAGACACATATGAAGACTACACCGGAGAGGGCGAGTAAAGCGGCCTTGAAGATGTCTCTCTTCTTGGATGATACGGAAGAGTTCGAGGAACGCTTTAGCTGTCCAGACTCAGAATGTCCAGGAGCGCCTTCAGTGTCGCTGTATAAACTCGATCGTTGTACAGGAGCCTCCCTTAGATGTTGGTTCGTATTTTGAGATGCAGCTGACGCTAAAATTGGGGAACAATCTGATGAAGACATGCTAGGAAGTTGACGTAAGACTTTCCGCATGGCATCAATACTGTGATCCAATTTCACGCCCGGAACCTGCAAAGCTTTCTCAACAAGCGCATCCCATCCCCTTCTCCACATCATCAGATCGACACTGACAAGTCTCCTGGTGCGTTCACTACAATCTCTGACGTGCGCCTCTTGGACCGCTGAGTACACCATGTCTGGAAAGCAGGGCCTGCCATCAGCCATGAGAATCAGATCAAGCGCGTGGGTCGATATGACAGTCATCTCTTGCTCCTTCACGACCTGAATCATAACGACCATTGCCAAAGCAAAGTCATGGCTAGCCAGACTTTGGTCTAGAAAATCGGTTTCTGCCGTCGCCAACACTTGAGAGACAATCTCATCAAAAGACGGTGCCTTATCTAGAGCATCAGAAAGGTCAGGAGAGTCCGTGTCAGAAATCCGATCAAAATTGCGCCGTATATTTTCAAAGAACTCAGTATTGCGATTGACCTTTGCACGCTCAGCTTCCCGCTCTTGCTTAACAAGCTCATCTAATGCGCTTCTCCAGGTCGGCAAATCGACATGAAGAATTCTTTTGTATCGCGCACTGAGACCTCTGGTGTCTGCCTTATGCACTGCTAGAAAAATTTGGTCTGGGAAGCAGCGTCGGCTATCCGCCATCGCCATCAAGTCAAGCTTCTTGATCGTTGAAGCAGACATCTTCAGCTTGCTTAACACCTCGCTCATGACAGTTGCGGGCAGCGCCACGAGACTTGCTGTCCGGCAATCGTTTTCTATCATTTCTAAAACTTGGGCAACCACGTCATGGAGAGTCGGCGCTCCGTCAGGAGGCGGCGTATCCTTAGTTTCATCAAGCGGCTCGATGTAGTACTTCGCTCTGACAGACGAGCCCAATGAATGGGCAATCGTCTCCAGCTTTCGTAACAAAGCCAGCATCGGGTCGTTCGGTCGCTCACTTATCGTCTTTAGACTGTAGACTCCTCTAGTCTGGGTTGGATAATCCAGATAGAAGTCCAGAGCTGCTTGAAATGCGACTCTCGACTTGTACACAATGTGCGAGCTGTGATGTGCTTGGTCCAGCATGACAAGGTTGATGGTTTGCACATGTCTGCTCTCCAGGCGGAAGAAAGTGAAGTAGAACTTGTCTGTCGCTCTAGGCACTCCGTCTGCACGTTCAGTCAGCTCAAGCCGACCGTCTTGAATCACAGTGTAGGAGTTTCGAGCTTTCGCTATTGGCAAGTCTTCGAGCAAGGATTTAGCGTTGTCTGGTTGACTGTGCGCCTGCATACGAGCTGCCAACATCCATCTCTTGTTATTGCGAATGTCTTTGTGCTGGTCCTCCAAAGGTTCCGGGAGACAATTATCGCGCAATATCATGACCAAACGTGGAGAAACGACGCTGATTACATGAAACTCGGTATATGCAGTCGTCGTCTGTTCACCTGTGAAAGGGTTGGTGAAGTAGTCGTTCGGCCCTTCATAAACTCCAAACGCGTTTTCAGTGAGGAGAAACTCTTCAACGGCATCTGAGGGAGTAGCGAAAGACAGGTACATTGACCTAATATTGATCTTGAGCCACTCAGCGTCTTCTGGGTAGATTTCCTTGTAGAGATCTTCTGTCCATTTACCGGCAGGATCCATATGCTTTTCCATAATCCTTTCAAGGTTGTCGAGCCAGACATCGAGCGGGCGCAAGAAGTTGCGTTCTTGCATGTATTCCAGAAATAATGCCCGATCGCTCGAAGCATAATCCTCTGCTCTCTGATGATTGAAGCGTTTGAAAAAGATAGGACTGCGGTACTTCATGACGAAGATGTATTTTCGTAGAAGATCTTTGTCATGGCGTGAGAGTTCGACTTTGTCCTTGCCCGCTTTATGGGCATCTGCAACTTTGGCAATAATGCGACTTGCTTGGCCCTCAATACGACTTAATTTTGTCTCAATTCGATCTTGATCTTTCTTGCTGAATTTCGAGTCGTCCTTGTACATGTCATATCGTCCAAAGATTCGTCCCACCGGTGATTCGACAAATTTGGGAATGTCGTGATCCAGGTCAACCGCGGTGACTACGTCTTCGATTCGTTGTTTTCTGTTCTGCTTCTTGCCATGTTTGAGCACGGTCGAAGATGGGTAAGAGAAGCGACGGAGCAAGAAGCGAGGGATGTAGTGCTGATATTGGGCTTTGTGTACTTCAGGGTTTGCACCTGCCATCGCTAGAGTGTTGCAAACATTGACAACCAAAGATAATGAGCATGTCGTTGGAGAATGGAGTGGTTATCTTGTTCGGATACTGAATTAAGCGCCCGCGCAGCGACTACGCCTCTGTCTCACTGGGGCGCGCGCCTCAACCCCGCATCAGAAGGTGAGGGTCTGGCCAGTAACAAGTCGCGACAAGCGAATCACTGTGTTGTTGGCACACAGATGCCCCATCCAATCCTTAACTTGTCACAGTCGATTCCCTCATTTCCACGCAAGGTTAAGAAATCATCTACACTTATGCCATGTGCCTCAGCAAGCGCCCAACATGTATCGCCTTCGGAGATATATGCTTGACGATTTCCCTTTCCACAAGCAGAGACGTATGTATCCTCACTCTTGTCCACGAGCTTGAATACAAGGAACAAGAAAACAAGAACCAGCAGTGCAAATGGCAACATCATACGGACAGCGCTCCTGTTGTCCTTTTCTATTGCCTCGTGTTGCTCGAGTCGTTCTTCGTCAGATATGGGCTGTGAGCGCTCGCCGGTGGCTCGCAGCTCCCCGTAGCGGTTGCCAGGCTCAGATTCGTAGATACGACCGGATGCATCGCGGAAGGTGTAGGTCTGGGTATCAGCGTCATAGCCTATGCGCTCGAAACCGTCTGGCAGTCGCTCAGCGTCCTAGAAGTCGTGTCAGTGACCTGCCAGAAAGAGAGGGCCACCTAAGTACATGGGGACACTTACACTGTCCATATCTGTCCAGCGGCCCATGATGAAGAGATGTGGGCTAGCTAAGGTTAGTTGGGAGGGTGAGTGAGACAGTCGAATGGAAGGTAATAAAGAGTTGTCGCGTTTCTTTGGAGGGTTACGAATATGCGGTCGCACTGCTTTTGAATGCAAGAGTCGCTCCTGTAGCTTAGAGAGGGCGAATATCTCGTCCGCCAGTTGTATGGGGGAACTAGGTTTCGAGACTACGTGGTGACGCGTTGTGGTGCAGCAGAGACGTGATGACGGGAGGTGGGGGCGTCTAAGCCACATCCCCTGCGCGTATCCGGGTGGCCTAATCCTTCACGGTCACGAACGGCTGCATGCTTCTATGTTATGAACTAACACCGTCATTACGCTTACTACTTGCTATCATGAATATATCCTTCACGTCTTCTAAACGCACAAATAACGTCTCCTCCGGTTTCGATGACCAACACTCGTCACCTCCCTTGCTTTGACTCAGGGTGACCAGCTATGGCTGGTGACTGGCCACTTCCGCTTTGCGAATATTGTGGTAGTCCATATCCTCAAGACTCTGGATTGTGTCTATTGAAAGTGGCGCGTCATCTTGCGTGTGGCCATGTCTATTACCACCTGATATAAACGATCTGATGGTCTTCAATGTTCCTCCGTGAAGTTTCTGAGTAGCAATCCTTGGGGCGCTTGGATCCTTGTGCTGGTCATGGAGCGCGTCGCCTCGCTGGGTACTCGACTTGCTACTTCGTGAGGATTTGGACAGCCTCATGATAGCCAGGAAACGACGTCCGAACTGCTGAAGTACGCTATCCTTCTTCCGTCGGTCGTCGTCAACAAGGTTCGTGATGAAAACTCCGCGGATAACAATGACAGACGCCATGATGAGTCCAACACAGGATTCAACGATGAACCAGTACGCAGCCCACACCGGCGCCGTTCCGTTCCCTGCCTCGGTTGTCTCGGTCAATGAGCCGACGACTCGGATCAGCGCGCAAATGATCATTACTGTCGAGAGGCCTAGCAATGCCACAATCGATAGTTTGCGGGAGAACGACATCATCGATTCGTTTACAACGACGATGGGAAAGCTCACGACTAGGAAAATCAGTATTTTCATTCTCATCTTGAGCCACTAGGCCGCATCACGTACTGAGAACATCGCCTATGATATCGAGGACGCCGACGAGAACGTTACCCGCGACACTTCTTTCATGCTGCCGGGGATTGAAGCCACATGTAGCTGTAAATTGTCAGTAACTCGAACCTCGATAAAGAATCAAATACCAACTGACCTGCGTCTGTACCAAAGTGTGGACAGATAACTACAAAGTTGATGACTGCATAGATCCAACAGACGACAAGAAAGCCTACGGTTATCCAGTAGAACCGCATGATCTTGACTGATAGCCCTCGGGTCAAGGTGCGAAAGAAATTCATAAAAGCAAACTTGACTAGGTAAAGGGAAGTCCAATTGAACGTGGAGAAGATGAAGGCCCACTTAGGCGTGTCCAATATTGCAGGAATATCCTCTCTAAACGGGATCGTTTTCCTTTGGTTCATGGCTTCGATAAGATAGAAAGTGTTCAGAAGCTTGTGGACGCAGACGAACGCGACTATCAGACACAAACATGACACCAAGACAAAGCCATCGTCCCATCGTATTTTCCGACCGCCAAAGATGCGAATCGCGAAGCGTGCTAATACGGAAAGAATAGCAAGCCCGAAAAGAATGCCCGTCGTGATCTAAAATTTATGTCAGCATATACAATGAATCGCCAACAGGGAGAGTGCATACCACAAATGGTACCTTATCAATCCTACCAGCATGGTCAATGATGGACTGTCTACCGGGCACATATTGTGCTGGTGGTAGCTTTGACGGATCAATCGACATATCTTGGGTATAGCTTTCGTAGCGCCGAATCTGGGTAAGGAGGAGACTGTACGTTAGAGCTACAGGATTCCAAGTGGAAAGAGGACGACATGACAAGCATATAACAAGACCTAGTATTGCATGCGACTGTGTGAAGGGTGGGGGCTATTGCAGTATATATATACTCCGCATGCTGCATCTACCATTGATCGATCTTTTGGATCGTCAACTGGGATCATGACCGGTCGCAGCGTGTCGTACAAATAATGCCTTGTTAGGGTCGGGATTCGAAGAGCGAATCCCAAAATCCCCGAGAACACCGACATATTGGTAAGATTCGATTGACGCCCATGAAGGAGACGATAGCGAATGTCGGGTTGTAATATTGTAGTACAGGAAGGCAGTGCTGATCCTAGCGCTGACGCCCATGCACCCAGGTGAGGCTAGCGCCTTCCGTGCCGCCCTCCCATCTTGCCGCCTTGTCCTGCACCTTTACTCGCACTTCGACAACAACTACTGTGAGATCAGATCACGATACTTGTGCCTCTGTGACGACGTCTGCAAGTTGCAACGCCCGATCCGCGGGTCATCATGACGCGGGTCAGCATGCCAGCCATCATGGCTGTGGTCGCTGGTGCTCTCGCCATGTTTGTGGCCAGATTGATGGCTAATCGACAGCACGTAAAGAGTTTACGGAACTCAGGAGCAGTGAGTCAAGTACTAGGTGCACCTAGAGAAATGCTTCTAACAATAGCAAGCCAATGCCGAAACATCATCCTCTGTTCGGCCATCTCATCGTGTTGAAAGAAGCTATTCAATCACTACCACAGAACACCGTAATGCACGTAGTAGTACGGCGAATAGCACAATCATTTCCCGGCGGTGTCTTCTATCTCAACTTGTGGCCTTTCAACGCTCCTATCATGGTAGTCGCGAACCCTTATGTTGCATCGCAAGTTGAAGCTGCTTTCCTCGACAAGCCCGCCAACATAAGTGCTACTATAGAGGTCATAAACGGTGGACCATCACTACTGACCATGTACGGAAGCACTTGGAAGAAATGGCGGGCACTGTTCAATCCAGGATTCGCTGCTGGCTATATAACAGGACTTTCTCCTGCTATAGCAGAAGAGGTCACGGTTTTCTGTCAACTTCTTCAAAAACGTGCCCAGAAGGGCGAAGTATTTCCTTTGGAGGAGTATACGCTTCGGTTGACTTTTGATATTATTGCGCGTGTTACCTTGTAAGTTCTCAACACGATGCGCCTACAATAAAGGTTGATTACTAAAAGGTGGGCCCAGTGGTGCGCGTCTCCACTATCAAACTCAAGGAAGCGCTCTCGCAGACTGTCTCCGAAGACAAGTGTATTGGACTCCATTCGGCACATCTTTCAATCCGATCCGTCGCTATCTTAGTCCTCGTCCATTCGTCCAAAAGTACAACAGTTACCGTATGGATCAATACCTTGACGAGGAAATTGACAAGCGTTTCGAAGAGTTGGCTCGCTCCCGTGGAAGCCCTTCAAAGGATTCCCACTCGCAATCTAGATCCATCATCGCGTTGGCCATGGACAAGTACCTGGACGATGTAGAGGGCGAAGACGAGGTGTCAAAATCGGCCTTCAGGCAGCTGGCGAAGCCTCAACTTCGGATGTTCCTGTACGCCGGCCACGACACCACTAGTAGTACCCTACTGTACAGCTATTTGCTACTGTCTCGTCACCCGGATGTTTTGTCCAAAGTACGTGCAGAACACGACAAGGTATTCGGGTTCGACTTCACGCTCCACAGTATCACTCGCATTATCACAGACGATCCCGCACTCCTGAACCAGTTGCCCTATACTCTAGCAGTCGTCAAGGAGGTTCTGCGCATATTTCCTCCGGCTGGCAGCATGCGCGATGGCCGCCCGGGTGTCTTTTTGGTAGATGAACAGGGTCAGCGATACCCTACGGAGGGCTGTAACATATGGACACTCACTCTTGCTATGCACCACAACCCCGAAGTGTTTGTGAAACCAGAAGATTTCATGCCAGATCGCTGGCTCGTCAGTCCTGAGGATCCTTTACATCCGAAGAAGGCTTCATGGAGAGCCTTTGAGTGGGGCCCACGTGCCTGTATTGGGCAGACACTTGCACAATTAGAACTTAAAATAGCCTTGGTAATGACTGCAAGGATGTTTGATATTGACATTGCGTATGAGGAGTGGGACAAACTACATCCAAAGAAGGGCATCAGAACTGTTGATGAGGATCGAGCATATCAGGCTGAGATGGGTGGAGGCGGAGCTCACCCAGCAGATGGTCTCCCTGTCAAGGTCACGCTGCGTGCATGAGTAGCACTTTCAGCCCATATGAATGAGTCCTCACCCGTAGTTTCTAGTGCCATGCTATTACTTTTTGATTGGATATTACGTGCCCCTCGGTTGCACCCTGGACGCGAGCAGTAGAGCAACCATTGTTCACACGTTCTCAAACTACAACATCAAGCTTATATGATGAGACCTTCCTGATCTGTACCCTGCAGGCCTCCTCAATTAAGCTTGCCATCTTCGTTCCTCGCTTCATAGTCAGAGTCCAGAAGCTAGCATGGTTCTTAGAGTTCTTTGCTGGTACGACGACACCACAAACTAGCAAAAGCATCACCATATCAACATGTCCTCGTTTGACGTGCCATAACGCTGGCGCACAGACTGTGTCGTCATATTCACTCTTCTTGACTTGTGCACCGCTCTCAATCAGAAGCCTAGCAGCCCCGAGCCAGCCATTCTGTACTGCTAATACAAGACCTTGTGATAGCCCTTGGGCCCCGATGCGACCCGCCTCGTAGGTATACGTAGCGTCTCCAAGAGTGGCGTCAGTCTCGAGGAAGTATTGTATAATGTGCACATGACCATGCTCGCATGCTAGATAGAAAGGCGTCAACCTCAATTGACGATCTGACTTGATCGCACGCTTGAAATTGTAGCAACGGCGAACTACGTCCAATTCACCTCTTATGATTGCCCACTTGCACCATTCGTATTTCGCATCATAGATTGCTCTCCCAGAGTCGCAACGCTTGAGGTACCAGCCCATGAATGTTGGAAGCATGGTGGCACATTGCTTGTACATGCATGTATCGATAGTCTCGTATAAGTGGTCCTCGACGTGACAATGCTATGCTTTTGTCGTGTGCCAGGTGGTATAAGAGTGCTAAGCATTCGGGGAAAAGGCAGAAGACGAACGGCCTCGTGCATTGGACGAGCTACTAGTCTCGGCATCATCCCTGTGAAGCAACGTATCGTGGACAGTCTAGATTGCGCGACTAGGAGTCTCGCTGTCAAAGTGGATGCCAGAAGGCGAAGCTGGGCGCGATTGTCGTTCAGGATCAGCGGCTTTCGTATTGATGATGATGACCGTGCGGGGGAAAGCCGACGCTGGCGGCTTCCTAGTCGTCGCCTCGCGCTTTCTGTTCCCAGCACCTGGCAGGGATGCTGAGACAACGCGTCGCAGCGCACCTTCCCTCCAACTTCCCAGGCAAACCGCACAGGATACTTGTTTGATGCACAGTGATGCCAGAATCCTTCAATCACCTTCTAGACTCGCCGCGCGCAAACAAGAATCATAACACGCCCAAACAAGCAAGACGTAGCGCGCCACTGAGGCTGTGCGCGCGGTCCACGTGTAGCCAATCTGGCCGGACGACCGACGTCATTCGTCAGTGTTCGGGGATCCACTCAGAGAGTAAGCACATACCAAGCCGGTTCAAGCTTGCCGAGCATTGATAAGGAAGGCGCGGCCACCGCCTCACTTACTTGGCCACACCTCTATCGTTCTCAAAGTACATCTTTGTACTCAACCACTACCCAAACTCTGCAACACCAAAACCGATGGGAGAACCCGACGACCCCTCTATACGCAGCTTCAAGTCTAAGGCAGCATCTGCACTTGGCTTGGGACGCAAGAAAGACACTCAGACAGACGTCCTTCCGACCCACAACCCCCACACGACCGCCCATCCTGGCCTAGGTGGCAGCAACCCGCCGCGTAGTGCGCCCGGCACCACCAACAGCGACCACAGCGACCATCATGAGAAGCCCGTCGCGCCAGACGACAATTCCACAGATGTCCAACATGGCAGCGTCAATACCGCGGCTGATGGAGAGACGCCTTCCGCCATAGGATCCGAGAAGCGTCCGTTCTATTCGCCTACGCGTGTCAAGAACGGGACCCTCCGATTCATCACCCATACCAAGAATGCCCTTACCCACAGCTGGATCAACGTCCTGCTCGTCTTCGTGCCTCTTGGTATCGTAGTCAAGCTTGTAGACTTGAAGCCCGAGATTGTCTTCTCTATGAATGCCATCGCCATCATTCCACTGGCTGGCCTGCTCGCGCACGCGACCGAAGTCGTCGCTGCCCGTGTTGGAGATGCGCTCGGTGCATTGCTCAATGTATCCTTCGGAAACGCTGTCGAGTTGATTCTCTTCATCATCTTGCTCGCCTCTGACCAAATCGAGGTTGTGCAGGCGTCGCTGCTTGGATCTATTCTTGCTAACCTCCTTCTCATCCTGGGCATGGCCTTCCTACTTGGTGGTCTCAAATACCAAGAGCAGGTTTACAACAACACTGTCACCCAGATGAGTGGTGTCATGCTGGCTCTTGCCGTAATGAGTCTTCTTTTGCCCACGGCGTTCCATGCTGCTTTCGAAGACAACTCTATTGCTGACCACGAGACGCTATCCGTCAGTCGTGGTACCAGTGTTATTCTGTTGCTGGTCTACGGTCTTTACCTTCTCTTCCAGCTCAAGAGTCATCGTTATCTTTATGCTAGCACACCCCAACACATCATTGACGAAGAATCGCACCCTGGTGTTCTTGCTGGCGCATTCGACTCGTCCAGCTCAGACTCTTCATCCAGCTCTAGTAGCAGCGATAGCGATAGTTCTTCAAACAACTCTGATGGTACCATGAAGAAGAAGGCCAAACGCATGGTCAAGAGACTTCGCCGCAAATCCAGCGCTAGCTCTAAAGACGATGGTGCGCTTTCGGCCATGAGCTCCCCCTCTGCCGAACTGAATCAAAGTCCTTTCGAGACTGAAAGGACTAGCAGCGTTGTCACCGCGAACAATGCTGGTCCCATCACCTCTCGCCGGCACTCCTTCGACGTCATGAGTGGCGACGAAGCTGACAACGATCAATACGTCCCGGTGGTCCGCGACTTTGAAGCCGCTTCTCACACCTCACGATCCCTGACGAAGAAGGAAAAACGTAAGAACAAGAAGAGCAAGAAGGACCGTCGTGATCGTAACAAGATCGACACCATTCCTGAGAAGGAGGTCGAACCAAATGATCCCACGCCCAAGGTCACCTTTGCTGAAGAAGTACAACATGACAGTGCTGCTCCAATGAACGCGCGCAAATACAACCGCCCAGCTCTCCCCTCGCTGCTTTCCAACAATGTTTTCTCGAACCCTCAGAATCTTGCTCCACTTGGCGGACCCGCGCCTAACATCCGTATGGCAGCACCTCGAGACAACGCGGCTTTACGTGCACCTCTTCGTCGATCAAAGTCTCTTCCTGAACAAATCGGTCGCGCCGACTCCACTGGTAGCGCAGTCAAGCATCCTGCCGTATCTCCCCAGGCCGCCATGGCACTCAACGAGGATGATGAAGACGAAGAAGCACCTGACATGTCTATCAAAGCGGCTATCTTCATGCTTTTGATCAGTACGGGTCTCGTTGCTGTTTGTGCCGACTTTATGAGTGACGCTATCGAGCCCATGGTCGAGACCTCTGGTATCAGCCAAGCATTCATTGGTCTCATTATCCTTCCTATTGTGGGCAACGCCGCAGAGCACGTCACAGCTGTTACAGTCGCCATGAAGAACAAGATGGATCTCTCTATCGGTATTGCTGTTGGTTCTTCTATTCAGATCGCCATCTTTATCACCCCTGTTATTGTCATCCTTGGCTGGATCATGGGAAAGGAGATGACACTGTACTTCAACATTTTCGAGACTGTTGCACTATTCGTTACCGTATTGGTAGTGAACTTTTTGGTGTTGGACGGTCGCAGTAACTACCTTGAGGGTAGCCTACTGATTGCTGCCTATATTATCATCGCGCTGGCCAGTTTCTTCTACCCTGATGGTTGCGATGCTAGTGCTATCGGTGGTAACGAGCAGCGCTGTAACAACGTTCAGGTTGCCCGATTAGCACAGGGCATGGTCAAGAGGATGATCGGCATGTAACGCAATGGTTGTTCGTTGAGAACTTTGAAGCTCGAGTAACATTTGGCTTTCGCAAGATTCTCGATACAAGCATGGCATTGTGACTAGGTGGTTGAGTGGGATGGTGGGACGCCCGCTCCCGCATCGGGACTTGTCATGACGTCTCATCTTTTTTCTATCACGATGATAGCCAGTCGTTACAGATACCTAATAGCTTATTACCCCAGAGGTCCCTAAATTGATACATAATTCCGGCTCGTTACACGAAGCCCTCCTCAACAGTGGTCTGCTACGTACTCTTGTGTGATGCAAATGGCTTTTGGTCAGCTTTTGGTCGCATGGCTCAAATGAGCTGCAAGTACGCGACATACACGTTTTGCTGTTGGTGGAGTCGTCATCTTTGGGCGCCCTGCCAAGAGTAAGCATCTGCCTAAATCCGTTCCGTCGTCGTCCGACGCGAGAGGAATTCTTTGCGAGCTCAGCCACAAGGCTTCGACGACTATGTTTCTTCTTATTCTCTCATCATGTATACCATCGATCTTGCCGATGTAAGATCGACCAGGCATTTGTCTCGACAGTTTTACTGTGTTCCACATCGCGACATATCGTATTTAGACGTTTGTGCCTGTGACATAAAAAAGCGGCGAGAGCAACTCCCCCCTATTCATATACAAGGTAAGTATGGTCAGCCGCGGCGGTCGTTCGAAAGGATGCACCAACTGTCGCCGCCGGCGTGTGAAATGTGGTATGTGCCCATTCGCTTACTCCACGTTCACCGAGTCGAAACCAGGTGCATGTGCTGACAAGAAAGACGAGAACCGTCCCGTGTGCGGACAATGCACGAAGCGTGGTCTCGAATGTGAAGGGCCAAAAGACCTAACCTGGATCGATCAGAGTAGGACATTCGAAGCCAAACCAACAAACACAGCCCAGAATGCTGTCGTCAAGATAGCTAGTCCGACTGAGCTATCTCTTAAAGCCTTTGAAGATGATATCTGCTTGGCGTACACTCGCAAGACCTTACTGCGCGGAGGACCTGTCGAAATAGCTTGCAACATGGTTGAGAGCTATGGCGCATCTATAGAAAGCGACAACCCAGGTCTTGATCTGTTGCGCAAAGGGATATTAACCTTGTCTGTTACATTTTTCGGAAGCCAACATCGCCAGGACTACATCACAAAAAAAGGTTATTCCCAGTACAGTGAGGTACTGCGGCAGCTGAATTCGCATCTTTCTCACCCGGAGCTGCAGTTGACAAACGAAACTCTACTGACAGCATTGTCTTGTATGCTTCTCGAGATCTTCTTGCCGACTGGACCGAAGAACTTTTTGAAGCACCAGCGAGGCCTCGATGCCATCGCGATGCTACGGGGCCCACCGAAAGAGTCCGATGGTACTACGGCAACGATTTTTCGCGGCTTGCGCATTCTCTCTATTGTTGGTTCGCTGGCGGAGTCTAGGACTTCTCTGTACTCCAGAGAAGAATGGAAGCAGGTTCCGCCTGTCCAGGCAAGCGAGGCAGGATACTTTCAGCATCACGTTTTCACCATTCTGGCCGATTGTACCCGTCTAATTGGCCGTCGCAATGCCCTGCTTGCTTCTAAAGCCATACCCGCCAGTTTCGAACCGTTACTTGTCGAGGTGGAGGCTGTATTGAGCGCGCTGGAGGCGCTGTATCCGCACTGGGAGGTTTTAAATCGAAATCAGCTAGCTGGAGTGACAGAGCAGTCAGACATGGCGAAGACACTAGGGGTGGCCAATCATGTCTCTGCAACGGCATATATGCTCTACAACACTGCATACATATGCGTGCTTCAAATCAAGGATTCGTTGTCTCCGTCGCCGATTAATGTTGCATGGCGAAACGCTGCGGCGACGAGCATCGCCAAATGCTTGGAACTGAAAGAATATGAACAGCGCGAGGGTGCACCGCAATCGAACACCATAGCCTACGTGGCTATAAGAGTGGCATGGCAAGCGTTGGGCGGTTTCGACTCACCGGAAGGACGACGCTTAGCACATGTTGTCGATTCTGCGACGAATTCGGTCTTCCAGCAGCCATCTCTGCCATCGGATGAGTCGCTCTTTTCTAGATTTGTCGAAAGGATGCCGGTCGTGCTACCCGACTGCACGTCGTACCCCAATGAGCAGTATGATACATGGTCTGAAGGCCCGCCAGGCATCATTGAATTCAGCATGCAACAGTTGGTCATACATCCCCGATTCTAAGTAGAGACTTCTGACTCCCATAGGCATCTCGCATAGCTTTAGTTGCGTACAGCTACTGCATCAACCCGATACAAGATTAGCAATGGCTGGAAAGAAACTGCCCATGAAGTGCGATGTCGCAGTGCATTGCAATTATGCGCCACGCCTGATTTACTTCGGAGCACCCTTCTCAACCTGGGTTCTAATTTCGCGACATGTCACGCAGCTCCACATGGCGCGTTCCAAGCTTCCCCGGATTTTGACATTAGCCGGTGGCAATCTACCGGTAAGGAATGAAACACGGCGAATTTATCTGAACATGCTTCGGATGAAGGGCACAGCTTCATCGATCTGAATTTGATTCATTGTGCCTTTGCACGACCTGTTGCGCGAAAGGCTGCGGTCTCCGGTCTATCTGCGCACACTTGCGGTCCAATTTTTGCGCCGCAAAAACGGTGGCGAACCTACGAACACGCTGATATTGCGATCAAACACTTGAACACACATCTGCCGGACAGGGTCCTTTCGCCGCTTCCGATGACCCGGTTTAAGCATGTCGTCTACTATAAACGAGCCAAGAGCCCCTAAGCTTCACGGGAATGACCTCAGGACAGCGGGCGGAGCCTTGGCGTTTATACATAAAGATGGTAGGCCTTGAGAAACAATTCGAGCATTTCAGAAACACAGTTGTCGTTCTTCTATCACCATGGGTCTCAAGTCTCTCATTGTCGCAACAATCGCTGCGGTGGCCATCGCTGGGCCCATACCAGATCCTCTCAATATGATGAAGCGGGCTGGACCTGCGGCGGGCCAAGTGATCACAAAGTGCGCAGCACCTGGTCAAATTGCTCTCGCCTACGATGACGGCCCATCTCAGTACACACAAAAGCTCGTCGACACCTTGACCGCTGGTGGAGCTAAGGGCACCTTCTTTGTTACTGGTTCGCTGTATGGTACGCATAGCATTCCTCGTGATACTCACCTAAGAGCACCTCCTAACAGGCGTAGGATGTATCTACAACCAGAAGAGCGCTCTCCAGAATGCCTACAAAGCTGGCCACCAGATCGCATCCCACACTTGGTCCCACCCGCAAAACTTCGGCTCCCTCTCGACCAACGACCTAACATCCCAGATGACGCGTCTTGAGCAAGCCCTTGTCAACATTATCGGTGTGAAGCCAACCTACATGCGCCCTCCTTACCTCGCCACTGGCGGAAACGTGCTCCCAACAATGAAGACGCTTGGATACCGCGTCATCACCGATGACGTCGACTCCGAGGACTGGAACGGCAAGACACCCCAGCAGAGCCAGCAGAAGTTCCAACAAGCCGGTACCAGCGGTAATGGACATATTCCTCTCATGCACGAGACTTATGCTTCTACGGTCAACACTCTTACGCCGTGGTTGATCAGCTGGGCGAAGAACAACAATCTCAAGTTGGTTACTGTTGGTGAGTTCGATTATCAGTCTGTTATCATTGAGACATGTCGCTAACTTGGTGTTTTAGCTGAGTGCCTGGGTGACGCTAGTGGCGCTTACAAGAGTGGTACACCGAACGGTGCGTCGACTTGCTAGTTGGATCTAGTCCAGATGAGTTGAAACTTCGCCGTTTACTTCGACCTCAGTATCTGTGGAAGAATAGATAACGACTACCCTTGATCTATGTACATATTTTACTTCTAGAAAACCCTTTTAGCGAAGGCATTGATTATTTCTTCTGATGTTTCCACTTGCGTACGCTTGATGAGCTGGTACCCATTCTCAGTATTGGTGTCAAGTTGTGAAATCGTCGAAGCGACAAAAAAGCTGTTGAGTCACAAAAATTCAGAGCAAGACAAAAAAGTCGGTAAGTGCGAGGTAGTAAGCTCAAGATATTCAGCGAGGACGGAGCAAGAAGTGTGAGCGGTGACAGACGACTGGTACGCATCCGAAGCAGGAGGCAGAGAGGTTTCTCTGCTGATCAATGCCTCCCATTCATTCCCACGCATGGGATTCGAGACGAGCGAGACTACTCGAAAGTCTTTCGTAAGTACTGGTGTTTGTCTCCTAACTCTTGTTGGCGGAACTTAGTCTCGTCGCTTCTCCAAGCTTTTGCCAATCTATGTGCAGCTTGCCAATCCATCACTCGCAGCATCGATCGTGCAATCGTTCGTGTTGCCTCTGCAAGGTAAAGTCTAGAAAAAGAGTAAGTATGATATGATTACCCCAGTCAGAAAAGAGAGTATTATTGTTACGTACCCCGGAACATGGCTGGTTAGGTCGTTGGTCGTTAGGAACGCAAACTCCAGCTGGACTATCGTCTCCATAGCAGAGCTTCACTTAGTTAGCCATGAGATAGGTATCTAGAGCACGAAAGATGAGGGAACTTGCCCCTGATGACCCCTGCGCCGACACAATACTCGAGATTATAGCGGCAATGATGAAAAACTTCATTTTCTTTTCTGGGAAATTATGAGTGATGATGTTATAAGTTTTGAGGAGTATTGGAGTTTCCGAAGCTCTATTGTGGAAAGTGCTTATATACTCCACATGCCTGAGTATAGTACATCGTACTTGTTGACATCGATCGTCAAAAACTACGAGCAGTGCCAGCTAACTAGGCCGTTCTTGAGTGGAATACCGCTGGACCTGCTGTAAATGATGGTGTGCTTCGGTCGTCCTCGGGTCAATCCAGCCTCGCCGTGACACGTGTAACTCATTCGGCCCAGCGTGATTATGATCGTTCTGACAACAGGTAAATGAGCACATATATTCTGGTAGCTTGCACTTGACCAGACCTATTTATTTTTAGGATCGATTGGGTTGCTGAAGTTGTGGAAAGCTCGTTTTCGTACGCTACCCACGGACCAAACAGCAACTAAGGTGTAAGATCCCATTTCGTTCAAGCGTTCAATATTTTCACTCTCAAGATTACTCACCATAGTCATGCTTTGATTAGTGTACATAGGATGTACAAGCTCGGAGTGACTCTTTCGGCTGAATACACCGCCTTGGCTTACAGACGCGCGTTCTAGTTTGGCGCACGTCCTAATCTACTTGTGTCTCCACCTAAGGCTACCCGGCCAGGTAAGACCTTGAACTGACACCTCATAGTGATAGTAGCGTACATGAGCCGTTGTAGGAAGCCAATTCAAGGCTAAAGCTCGTGTGGCCCATCATGTGCAAAGGCTGGAATGTCTTGCAAAAAGAAGCTATAGCCTTCCTAGGTCCACGAAACTAGCTACTTCAAGATAGCATACCCTACCCTAGAAGACTAAGCTTCTCAAACGTCTTGATCACTGGCGCCTCTCTCTTCTTCCCCACCTCTTGCAAGCTATCCCAAAGCGTCGCATCTCCGCCAGTAGGCTTCATCGCCTCACCTTCAACGCCAACTGGCAGCTGATTAGCACTCTCAGAGGCTTCAACTGCCGCAGCTGGGTACATCTCCTTGATTGCATCCTGACACCGTTCCATGACCTCGTTGACAGCATTGAACACGGCATCAGCACGCTCTCTCATACTTCTCCTAAACAAACCTTCGACAAGGCGCTGGATTTCTTCCTGCATGCTGTTGATACGCTCGATGAGGCGTTCGATCGAGTTGGTAAGATACTCCTCCTCATATACTGTGCCCTTCTTACCACGCGCACGCTTCCTCTCCTCCCTGCGCTTATTCTTGCTTGTCTTGCGTGTAGTCGTCGTGTTTACTGTGCCAGTCTGATTTGTGTATCTGGTCATGAATGTACCACCGCTCGTTGTGTCCGTGGGCGCCAGAGAGATGTTATCAGGGATATTCGCATCGGCCGGGCCGTCAATCATGCCCTCGTAGAACGCCATCGGATCTTCTGCTTTCTTGGTCCGGAGTTCCTTGAGTCGAGGTACTTGAGCTTGCAGTTGGCCTTTCATATCGGCGAGGAACTCAGTCATATCTGCGCTGCGTTCTATGAGACCGGGATCGATGACTTCTGTAATAAGAGCAGGTTCGCGGCGGAGCGTGACGACACGAATTGCTTCGGCGAAGTGGCAACCACGACACAGGAGACGTGCTGCTGACGGAAGATCAGACAGATAGTCCAGTGTTATTGATGCAGCGGATAGGTAGTCCTTGGATTCTGCGAGACCATCGGCGAGGTCTGTGGCAATGGTCGACAGCTCATCAGCGCTTACATCGGCGAGAACAGCAGACGATAAGGCTTCGCGCCATAGATTGGCTGACCGGTAACATGGCCAAGCGGATGTATGATCGCCGAGATACTCGTACGCTAGCGCAGCTTCTTTGTTCTTGTTGTTGTTGCCCAAGAAATCTGCGTACAACCGCATGATTTCTCTCAAGCGAGTGTTGTCGTATTGGTACATGCTCAAGGCCTCAGGGTAGAGGTCGTGCTTTTGTACATACTCCTGTACTTCATCGTAGGCCTGGAGTTCCTTGAGATGTGTGAGTGCTTTCGCTCTGCGTCCGAGCTGGTCGTCAATCTTGAATTTGCGACGGATTTCGGGGAGATCTTGTAGAGACTGGAGATGTGGAAGATACTCTCTCGGATCCTGTGAGAGTTAGCCAATGCTTTGTTGGGCGATATGTCAAATGTACCTTTTGTGATTGTTGAGCGATGAGCAGGGCGACATCTAGATTGTAAAGTCCCAATGATGTGTCATAGAGCTGGTTGACGTCTGCAAGAAAGCAAATGTGCTCGGCAGCCTTGTCAGTAAGCGGGTCACTTGATGCTGCAAGACGTTAGTAGATTGATCAACCAGCGAACGAGTAAGACTCACCTTGCAGACGACCGATCATAGCTAGGCCAGTCTCTAGAGCTGGTGGTGTCTTAGAGACGTGGGCCGTGATTATATTCTGCAAGTGCTCATCCTTGTACTGTGACTTCTCTAGTACGTCCAAGAAAGCGTCGCATATGCGATTGACTTTATTGTCGACTTGATCTTGTGACAGCTTTGACTTTGTGGCCAGTTCCTTTGTCTTCAGTGTTTCCTTGTACATGGTTTCCGAGACGTCCTCGTTACTGTATCCGTTAGCTAATGTATATCTGA